AGACAGGGTTTTGCTAAGTGGCTGAACTGTCCAGGCTGGCCTAGGACTTGCAGCCCTCCTGCCTCAGCCTGCTGGAGTGCTGGGGTTATAAGCCTGTGCCACCACACCCAGCTCTGTAAGCCCTTTTCAGGGTCTACAGATTTGGAACAAGTCACCTCGGTGTGCAGTGCTTTGTAAGTGACATTTTATTTCGCCCAGGGCTCTGTGGACCTGACATTTGCAAAGGGCTCAGGCCAGTAGCTCTGCTGTGGCTGAACAGGGCCACCGAGGCAAGTCCCCCAGGCCAGCACCCCGGCACACATGCCTGCTGCATTCCCGGGGACCAGGGAGTCACTAAGGCTAGCGTGGATTCCAGGGGAGGGGACAGAGACACCTTCCAGGAAGAGCTTCAGGACACTGCCAGAGCCTGCAAACTGCAGAGAGATGACAGACAGGTGATGGGCAGACTTGGAGTCAACCCCCACCCTGCTGCCCACCTGGAACCACACAAGCACCTCCCAATTGCTCTGTACACTCTCTCCAGCCCCTTGGTAGCTCCTGCTGGCTTTCTGAAAAAAGCCAAGCTGAGGTTAACGGCACACACCCATCACCCAGCCCTCAGGAGGCTGAGGCAGGAGGATCACTGCAAGCTCAAGGCCAGCCTGAACTGCATAGTGAGACATGGTTTTTTCTTTTTTTTTGGTACCGGGGAACAAACTCATGACCTTATGCTTGCCAGGCAGGTGCTATGCCACTGAGCTAAATTCCTGGCATGAGACCCTGTTTTAAAAAACCACAACCAAAACAAACGAACAAACAAACTGCAATGAGAGGGCAGTAAAGTCCAGCCCCTGCTGCAAGGATGCCCCCCCAGCCGCTATGGGCGGGGGCGGGGGGTGTCTTGTGTGGCCCAGGCACGTGCCAAGCACAGCAGCTCGGGGGTCCCAGGTCATTGTCTCGCCCTCCCTCCTCTCCTGCCCTCCCTCTGCTCCTGCCACCCTCCCCAGGCCACCCTCCCCGGGCTCAGGGACCTCTCACCCTCGCGTGAGTGCATCCCAGACAGAAAGCGGGAGCCTGCCCAAGATAGCTTGGGGCTGTTAAGTTGCTTTTTAAATATTCCATACTTGCTTATTTATTTGTGGCACTGGGGTTGGAAGAAGTCTTTCTCATTGAGCCAGATCCCCACTCCCTTTTCCTTTGATTTTCAAAGTGGGTCGGCTGAATCCCCTCCCCCAGCCTCCCAGGGGGCATCGTGCAGGCTCCTCTGTCACTTTAGTCTCTGTCCAGCATCTCTTCCCTCTGTCTGACCTTTCGCTCTCCTAGTAGCCCAAACACTCGATGTTTCGTTATTTCATGCGCCTTGCGCTTTCTTTTCTAAGTCCTCCCTCTTCCCCTTCCCTTTCCCCCTCCCCCGTTCCCCTCTCTCTTTTTTTTTTTTTTTTTTTTTTTGTCTTTTTCGTTTTTATCGGTACCAGGGATCGAACTTACGACTGCCTGCTTGCAAGGCAGGTGCTTATGCCGCTGAGCTAAATCCCCAGCCCTCCCTTCTCTTTCTTTGTTTGGTTTTTCAGACGAGATCTCACTCTGTAGCCCAGGCTGGCCTCAAACTCACAGCATCCTCCTGCCTCAGCCTCCCGAGTGCTGCGATTACAGGCCTGCGCCACCACGCCTGGCTGACAGTTTTAAAAATAGAGATTAAAATGTGCAAGGAGGCCAGGCATGGTGGCGCACACCTGTGATAACAGCACTCAAGCTGAGGTAGCAGGACGGCTGCAAATTTGAGCTGATCTGAGTTTCAGAATGAGATCAAGGCCAGCCAGAGAGATTCTGTCTCAGACAAATATTTTCCTGTGGATCCCATTGCTAAATTCCTTTTACAAAGCCACAGAAATAAAGATGGCTCCATTTGTGTTCACTTAAAAAAATCTCTATCGAGGAAAGCCCGGGGTGGTGGTACATGCCCATAACGCTAGTATTAGGGAGGCTGAGGCAGGAGGATTGCTTAGAGTCAGACTACATAGTGAATTCAAGACCCTGGGGAACAAAAGCCCTTCTCAGGGCATCTCAGCGGCTCAGGGAGCTCGGGAGGGGTCCGGGCCCGAGCGGGCTGGGCTATGACAGGCACCGTCTGGAAAACTCCGTGCAGGATGAGGAGCGGAGGTGTGGGAGGCTCCTCACCTGCGCCAACAGGACGTGGGCAGGGCGGGCGTTGCCAGGCAGGTGTGCCCAAGGCCACGCTCGGTACTCACAGCCGGCCCGGGCACACGCGCCTGTGTGCACACGCCCAGGCGCGGATCCGAGCCAGGGCGCTCACCGACTGAGGTACACGCGGCCACGCGAGCACACACTCGGCCCAGGCCACAAAGGCCCGGGCCGCCCCGCCCAGTGCCTGCACCCCACCCTGCACCCCAAGGAGCGAGGCCCTGTGGGGTGGGGGCTGTGGGCGGCCGCTGATGTCCCGCGGGTATTTTTGTCCATCCAGCTCCACGTCCCCAGGGACTGTGAGGAGCCAGGTGGCTGCACTGGGAAGCAGATGGCCCCGAGGCGCCAGCAAGGCCGCCCTGCTGCCCGGCCGCACCCCAGGGTCCCTCCAGCGGGCACCTGAGGAACGCCTGGCAGCCCCATCGCCCCTCGCGGGAGCTCAGCTCCCCACAGCACCGTGGGCAGGGCCACCCCCTCCCCCGCCTCTCCTTCCCTCCCTCCCTCCGTCCCCCTCCCTCCCTCCGTCCCCCTCCCCGCCCCCACCCCCGCTCCCCTCCCCCTCCCCCCCAGCGGCCCCCGCGCCTGCACGCGTGGTGTCCCCTGCGCCTGCGCAGTGAGGCTGCTCCCCCCTCGGCCGGCGGTGGATTTGGAAAGCGGTTTAATCTCTGGGCTCTGACAGCCGAGGTCGGAGGGCGGGGCGGCCCCAGGCCTGCAGGCTTCCGCGGGGTCCGGGGAGGCCTGGACGCGGGCGCTGTGGACTGAGGGGACATAAGCAGGGCTTTCTAATCTGGTGTTTATTTTTAAACAGTAGTAAGTCGGAGGGGAAAAACTAACAGTGCCTATCTTGGGAAATTTATCATTCAACAAATATGTATCGAGCGCGTTTTATCTGTCAGATGTTCCAGGCGCTGGGGACACGGAGCCCTTGGGGACCTCAGAGCCTAGGGAGTTAGGCTCCTGCTGGGTCACTAACTTGGACCTTCCTGCCTCAGCCTCCTGAGCGCTGGGATGACGGGCCTGGCTGAGGGGCCATCTTGAGCGAGCCCGGGGTCCACACCAGCCATGTGACCCCCAGCCTTGGCGTGGTCATCGGGCTGGTGACCGCCTCCGGCTCCGGAGGGAATTGCTGTGCGCCTCCTCCAGGGTCAAAACCCAGCATGGCTTCCTGGGGATCCTCCCACGTGGCAGGCTCCTGTCTCCCTGCGTGGGTTGGTTTGTTCTCTCGTGTACGTTAATGCGCTCACGCGTAATTGTTTTACACCTGAGGTAGAATCCAGCAGTCTGCATTCTGCTGCTCAGTGCTCCTAGCACGTGGCCCCTGCATCCCCTCGCCCTGTCCCCGTCAGGTCAGTGTGGTTTTCTTCTGAAGCCTCCCTTGCTTTGAGCGCTATGCGCTCTTCTCCCGTATCAACCTCCCCCACAACCCCGAGCTGTGGGTCTTTTCATCGGAGAATGGATTAGAAGCCACAGCCTGGGTACCAGGTGCCATTTTTAATCTTTGCTACAGGTGGTTAAGGAGCACTTCTCAGTGTGGTTAATGAATGTGTGGGAGAGGAAAAGGAGAAGCTGGGAGGTGGTGGGGGAGGAGGAGAGAAGAGTCGTGCAAAGGCCCTGAGGCAGGAGCTGAGGAGGGAGGAGCCGACTGAGCTGCAGGTGGGGAGGTGTAGGTGGCAGAAAGGCATCAGAAAGGATGCTGGCTCTTCCTTAGATTGACAGGGAACCCAGAGCCACCTGAGTTGCTTTTTAATAAAATCCCTCTGGCCTCTGTGCTGGGAATAGAAAGCTGTGAGGGCTAAAGGAAGCTGCCATTGTGAGACTCCCAGGGCGCCAATGTCATTGCAGATCAGGTGGCAGCTGTGGGTGGGCATGGAGGGGCTCAGGTGCTGGATGTGGCATCCAGACAGAGCTGACTGGTGAGGACAAGGGCGGGGTTGGGGGCCACAGTGGGTGGCGCTCAGCCTGAGCACCTGGAAGGGGCAGCTGGCAGCTGTGCGGGCACAGTGGCAGGTTTGGTGGCAGGGCTTGCACTCTGTATGCAGGAAGCTGGGGACACCCACCATTCCCCCAGGAGAGGCCAGAAGGTCAGGGCTGCAGGGTGCAGAGAAGGCCCAGTGACCGGTCAGCAGCTCTCTTGGCTTCTCAGAATGAGGGATGCAGAAAATCCGGGGCCAGGGACACAGAGCTGGAGGAGGCCTGGGCCTTGGGGCCCAGCATAGATCTGCCCTGAGGGTGGCACCTCAAGGGAGGGTGCTGAATTCCCAAGAACAGTTTGGTAGAGGCTGGGAGGGGTGGGGAGAGGAGGAGAGGGACACCTTCTCCCTCTTCGGCCCTCAGATCTTGTCCCAGAGCTGCTGGCAGGATCATTGTTTCATAAACAAACCTCAGATTGTCACAGCCTCTGCCACAGTCCTCCTGAGCAGGCTTCCTCATTGAGCTGGGACACACAGCACATGGCGGCCCCAGGGCCTTTGCACATTCTGTGCTAGCCAATTAGACAGCTTTCCCCAGCCAGAGGTGTCACTCATTCACTCCCTCTGGTCTCAGAATATAAGCTCCTCCAGGGCCACACTGTGTTAGGATTCAGCCAAACAATGCATGACCGACAACTGTCTCTCTCCTCCTGGGGCTCTGGGTCTGACCCTTACTGATGGTTGGTTGAAAGGTTAATGCTGGGGCTGGGGATTTTAGCTCAGCGGCCCAAGGGCCTGCCTGGCAACTGCAAGGTCATGGGGTGGATCCCAGCTACAAAAAAAAAAAAAAAAAAAAAAAAAAACAGAAGAGAGAGAAAGAAAATGAGACATCATGGCAGCCATTGCTGATTCCTGTCATTTTGTTTCCAAGTCCAATGATGCTTTTATTCTTGGTTTTGATTGGCTTTAGTCTGTTTTCAATTATCTGATTTCAGTATGGACAGCCATTTTGAGGAAAACGAGACATTCCGGGGGCCATTGTTGATTTCCCAGTGTCCGTTTTTGAAGGCCAGTCCGGCCCGCACTCTCTTGTTCTGGTTGCCTTTGTACTGTTTTGATTTGAACTAACTCATTGTGTGTGAGGGTGTGGAAGCTATTACACAGAAAACAAGAGACATTATGGCAGCCACTGTTGATTTCCTGTTGCTTTGTCCTGAAATCCTGTTATTTGCATTGCTTTGCTCTGATCTGCTTTGTTCTGTTTGGCTTTGTTTTGTTTTATTCTCTTTAAAAAAAGGAGAGAGAGAAAACAGACAAGCAGCACTTCTGGTATCTTTGAAGCAGTGCAGACACCGGGCACCCCAGCCCCCCAGCCCTGTCCCGGGTGCAGACAGACTCACCCCCCCACATCAGCCCCCCAGAAATGGGCGCAGGAATCAAGCAGCCAGGCGCAGGATGAGCAGCTGGGGCCAGCCTGGGATGGGCCACCCCAACTCACACTGAAACCCCAGACTCACACCCAGAACCCAGCGGTGCAGAACAGACCAGGCCCGAAGAGCTGCCTGGGGCAACGGGGCATCAGGCTGGAAAGGGTTAAGCCACCTGGGTGGGGGTGCGCGTGGGGATGGGTGTGGGGGTGGCCTGGGTGGCTGCACAGGTGCTTGCCCTGTGCCGGGGGCCCCCCTGTGCCCCCCCCCACAACCCACAGGCTGAACTCCAACCAATAAGGGGCTTTTGTGGTTTTTTGGAGACCAGATCTTACCATGTAGCCAGGCTGACCTGGAGCGTGCTGATCGTCCTGCCTCAGCCCCCTGGGTGCTGGCATGCCGGCCTGCTTGGCTCACACCAGGTTTTGAGAATAAATTGTGGGCTCCCTGGAGCCGCCACCGTTCCTCTTTTGAAAAGCAGGTGGACGGTGGTGTCCCCAGGCGCTGACAGCTGGCTGGGTCACCCTGGGCCTCCCCGCCCTCTGTGTCAGCTGGTGCTGGGGACAGCTCTCTGAGAGGCCAGGTCCTGCGTCCAGGAGGCAACACATCCACTTTCAGGCCCGGGTGGTGGCAGAGCCGGGGCCTCGGTATATCAGTGTCCCCTCCTGTGGCCGCAGCCAGCCGAGGACCAGGAAGCCTGGGGCCCACTCTGAGCTCGCAGCACCCCAAAGGTCACCACACGGTGCAGGCTTGCTGGCTGGGGGGTCAGGTTCCAGCTGTCCAGGCCTGCAAGGCACAGGTCCAGCGCTGCCTGCCACCACACCAGGATTTATTTATAACCGCAGGTCCTGTTACCTCGGGACCTTCAGGGCCCGATTAGCGTCTCTCTCCCTCCTCCAAAGGCTGAGGACAAACACCCTGCGCCCTCCCGCCTCAGCCTCCCCTCCTGCCTTCAGGGGTCCCACGTCTACCCAGGCTGGGAGCTGGGGTGCTCTGCCCCTCCTCCCCGAGTTGCCCAGGTTATGGTCTGTCCTGGGTGGCAGTTTATGGCCCAGGGTTGCCTCTTTCCTGGCTCACAGCTGAGTGCAACGCGGGAGGCCAGGCACCTCTGGAACGGCAGGAAGCCCTCCCCCCAGAAGTGGCGTTTGACTGAAGGGGTGGCTTGTAAGACCCATGGGGAGACTGAGGCAAGCAGGGCCTGGCCGGGGTCATTTTTCATGCCAAGCCTTGGGCTGGATGCTGGCTCAGGAAAGCCCGGGCCGGGTCATCTGTCCCCTGTCCCAGCTTTGGTTGCACAGTGGGGCATCTTGGGGTGACCATGTGCTCATGCGTGTGCCTGGGGCGAGGTCACACAGAGTGGGGGAGCCCGGGCCAGGCGTTGAGGGAGGGGACGCAGCTGCCCTTTCTGAACTTCGCTGCTCGACTCTTCCTTCTTGGGCCTCAGTTTCCACAAAGGAGCAGTAAGGGAGGCGCTGGTGGCCCAGGGGCCTTTCCACCAGCTGTGTCCCTGAGGTCCACCCTGGCGAAGACCGGGGGACAGGCCAGGATGGTGGCGGCCGGGTGAGGTTGTGTGCGCATGCGTGTGTGTGTGTGTGGGGGGGGCTGACGGTGTACCAGGGCACGTGGCTGGGTCTGCGCTGGGTCTGCGCATGCGTGCGTGTTCAGGCCCTGGCAGAAGGCGAGCCCACCCCTCCCACCCTCCCTTCCTACCCCCCCCCCCGGGAGGTCACCTGGTGTTCCCAGGCCGGGGCAGTCACTGAGCTCGGGCTCTGGAAGCGTCAGTGGCTTTGCCGATCTTTCTCCCAAATGGGTGTCAGCACCAGCGGAGGGAGGGGACACTGGTGGCTGAGAAGGCGGCAGTGACTTCGTGACAGATGGGGACAAGAGCCAGCTCAGCCAGGGCTGTGCTCTGCTGTCTGAGGTGGGGACTCAGCCGGCCAGGTTCGGGTCTTTGTAGGAGCCCGTTGCTTGCTTTGCCTTGGGAAGGGAGGGTCTTGGGCCTGTTTGCAGATGAGGAAACTGAGGAGCCCTGGGAAAGTGGTGGAGCTGGACAGAGCCCAGCGGGAGCCAGGGAGCTCCGCCTGGACGCTCAGGCACTGGGCCTTCCCTGAGTCCCACCTCTCATGAGCTCTGCCCTGGGCGGGCTCTTCACATGCTGCTTGTACAAATTGAGGCGGGGGTGGGGGGGTGGGGGGGTGGTGGCAATTGGGATCAAAACCCACACAGGAGCCACCACAAAAAATGGCAACGTTTTGTTCAGTGCACAGCTTCCTCTCCTGTACGGCTAGGTCCTCAAGCCTCTGCTTAGCCAGACCTCCTTGACCTCTGGGATCCTCAGGCTGCTCTCTATGGGGCTGGGTCCCCAGGTGGCAGGCTGGGTGGGTGTGACACTGGCTTTGTACCCAGGAGCTGAGCTCAGCACCCAGGCCACCCTTTCTTTGCTATTTACTGGTTTCCCATAGTGATAATGTCACCCCTGCCTTGGCCTGGAGTTCACAGGGAAGTTCCCCATTGGGGCTGCGCCTGGCCTTTGATGAGCAGCTCGTATACCCATTTTATGGACCACAAAACTGAAGCTCACGGAAGGCCAAGGCTGGGATCCCATGGCCAGGACATGGCCAGTGTGCTGGGCTCTCTGACCCCACACTGGTAGGCCATGGCAGCCCTGTGGCTGTGGTCTAGGGACAGGGACAGGGAGGAGGACAGCGAGGAGGACAGGTTCCCCAGAGCAAAGCTGCTGGCCCTTGGCGCTGGACCCAGACCAGCAGTTCCTAGAACAGGAGTCTGACAGCTCATGGGGTGCCCAGTGCTGGCAGGGGTCTCGGCTCATCTGCTCGAGGTCAAATTAGAAAACTAAGGGAGGTGGAGTCAGGTTGTCCCAGTGCCAGATCTCCTTGGCCTGAGAGACCACCACATGAGCCCCTTCCCCCTGACAGCGCCTTTCAGGAAAGGTCTCATCGTGTAACCCAGGCTGCTTCAGCCTCCTGAGCTCTGGGCCTGCAGGTGTGCGCCACCACAGCTGGCTAATATTTCCCTTTAATGTCCTTAACTCAACAAAGCAAAACACTAGAGACTGTCAGTAGCTCCTACACTGACCCAGCCTGCTCCTCGCTGTCCCAGCACAGGCTCTGGTGGGCAGGACACCAAGGACTTCCAGTGTGTGGCCCAGAGGCTGGGGCAGAAGACCCAGGTTCCAGCCCGGACTTTGGACCCAGAGATGAGGCCTGACCAGGAGAGGAACATCCAGCCACTGCGACGGAAATTCCAAGAAAGGCTTCTGGCCAAGTCTGCCCTAGAGCCAGGAGGAAATGTTCCCTCCAGTGCCACCTCGGTGTCCCCAGCCCCCAAGGCTGACTCCCAGGGAGTCCAGGCACCCAAGCCAGACAGAGTCTGCGGGGACCCCAATGCCCCGCGGCTGGCCTGGCACAGCCACCTGGGGACAGACGTCCCAACAAGCCCAAGCGGCCGGGGTGGTGCTGGCGCAGGGCCGGGGCTGGGGACAGCTTCGAGCCCCGACGCTTTTATAAGCGTGACTTCCCATGGGCCTCGGACTGCAAAGGCCGAGCTGTCCCCTCCTGCCTCTCTTTTCGGGCTCCCGGGAAAAGCGAGGCCATAAAGCAGGGGTGTGGGAGGCAGGAAGCCAGGCCAAGCCCCAATAAACTGCAGGGTGCGCGGAGCTGCAGATGAGTCCAGGTCCCCCCTCCCCGCCCTGCTGGGATCGGAGTGTCAGAGGGCACAACTGCTGACGCAGATGTGGGTGGCACCACATGGGGACAGCTGGGCTCCCGATCTGGCTCTGGCTCCACCGCCAGGTGCCTTGGACACTGTGTCCCCTGCCCCCCACCCACCTCCGGCCAGGAGGGGATCAAAGGCCAGCAGGACCCGGAGGAGGAGCTTACTGGGACCTTAGGGCCAGGAGGAGGAGAAGGCTGTCTCTGCCTAGCCAGGTCCTCCTCGGGGGCTCCACTAGGCCTGTGCCCGGCCATGATGCTTGTGGCTGGTGCAGGACTTGAACTTGCAGACCTGTGTCGCCTGCATCCTTGAGTGGCACTGGCTCAGGACTCGAAGGGGCACGGAGGAATTTTAAACCTTGATTCTCTTCTGCCCTGGCGTCTCAGGGTTTGCCACAGGGCGGCGGCGTGAGCTCACTTCCCAGTCCGTTCCTCCTCCCCACTGCCCTGTGTCTATTAATAGCGTTGCCACCCGCCCAGCCCCAGGGCTCCAAACCTCCGTGTCATCTCCGAGCCCTCCCCATAGCCCGGGTGCCACGGCTTCAGCTTCTCCTGGGTGCCTGTCACCACTGGCCCGCCCTCCGCCTCCTGCCAGGCTCCTGGAATTCTTGACAGGGCCAGGCCAGAGCACGTGACCTGCCCACGCCACCTACTGGCTGTGTGGTTTTGGGCAAGTGGTTCAGCTTTTTTGGGTCTCAGCCACCTCTGCTGTGAGGTGAGGATAATGATCTCTGAGTGATGCCTGAATTAAATGTTAGCATGGACACAAGGACCTTATCACAGCCAGCATTCCAGTACTCGAGAGGCTGAGGCAGGAGGATCCCCTCAAGTTTGAACCAGCCAATGCTGGTCTGTCCCAGAGCCCTTGTGGAATCTGTCACCTATCCCAAGGTTTCTCAAACAGGGACACTTTTGCCCCAGGGGACATTTAGCAATGTCAGAAGGCAGTTCCTGTTGTCACAGCTGGGGAGGCATTAGGTGGATAGGAGCCCAAGGAAGCTGCTGCCCGTGCACAGCATAGAGCACGTGACAGAGGTGTGTCCACCCTGAGGGCCCTCGAGGCCCACCCAGCCAGAAGCTGGTTTAAGAGTCATCTGTCACCTGGGCAGCACTCGGGCCCTTCCCAGAGCAGGCACCCGTGCTGACCAGCACTTTTCCAGGAATTTTCTGAGGTCGTCTATTTTGTCCCCTGCACAGCTGAGGGCAGTGTGTGTGGGGGGAGTGGACACGCACCCTTCACCCCTGCAGCCTGCCCCACCCCCTCTGCCCTTCCCTCGTGCTAGTTATTTTTTTGTGGTACCAGGGATCGAACTCACAACCTCGAATTTGTCAGTTAGGTGCTTATACTGCTGAGCTAAATCCCCAGCCCCTAGTTATTTTTAATTATTTATTTTGGCACTGGGGATTCGACTCAAGGCCTCTGTGCTAAGCTACAACCCCAGGTCTTCTTAAATTTTGACACAAGGTCTTGCTAAATTCTCCCAGCTGGGCTGGAACTTGTGCTCCTCCTGTCTGGGTCTCCTGAAGAGCTGGGATTACAGGTGTGGGTCACCAAGGCTGGGAGCAAACACTCCTGCCCCAGGTGTTCCCTGGGCATGTGAGTATGTGGCAGCACAGGTGGCCAGGCGTGCCAAGAGTGGTCACTCTGCAGCTGTGGAGGTCAGATGTCTCCTTGCCAAAAACTGTTTCCCACAAGTCACTGCCTTCCCTGGGCCTGGCAGGGGCCCACAAGTCGGGATCCCCACTGGCCATCCCAGCTCTGCTGTGCAGGTTTGTCCAGCCCAGATTTCACAGAGGATTGGATGGCCCTGCCCTGCCAGCCCGGGGACACAGGGACCCTAAGACCCCTTCCTGCTCACGGCTCCCTGGGGGCCTCAGCCCCCTCCACCTTGGGGTGGCTGGAGGACTGGGCTGTTGGGATGAGACCAGGTGGGACCCCAGCTGGAGGGCAGGACTGGGAGTGGCTGCGAGCCCCTACTGGTGGCACTGGCGGTACCTTCCTCCCATGGTGGCCCTGACCTTTACCTTCTCTCCCAAGGCCGACCCCCCAGGGACAGCCAGTGCTCCCTGAGGCCTCTGGGCTCCTGTTCAGAACGTGGGCGTCCCTCTAGCCTGCCCTGTTACCTCACAGACACCAAGGATGGGACAGAAGGCACCTGGCTGGAAGCTGTGGCCACCAGGGCCACTGAAGACAGTGCCAGGACTCCTAGGTCCGGGTGAGGACCAGATGCTGGCCTTGGGGGTTCATTCCAGGCCCCGGTTGTCCCTAATCCTCTGCCTGTCCCTTGTCCCTTCTGTGGGCTGGCAGGGCTGCCACGGCACCTGCCGCCTTGCATAACTCCGTGGTGACCTCAGAGATGCCGAGTGGAGCCACCAGCCGCTTCCTTGTGCTCCAGGGCCTGCCACACTGTGCACCCTGCTTTGGTTCCTTGGTCCAGGGGTTCTCAACACCCACCCACGTGGTCCCACACCTGCGGTGCGGCCTCTAGGGGCCTCGGAAACGTGGGGGGAAGGGCAAGGAGAGCCCAGCTTCTGCAGAACAGCAGCAACCTGAGTTCAGAGTCAAGGGTTCCAGTCTCCCCTCTGCCTTTGGGGAACAGCTGCGCCTGCCTCAGCTTGCTTGTTGGTAGAAACCACGAGTTCACCATATGCACCGGGGAGCTGGCACCTCCAAAGGACGCCTGGCTGGCTCATACTGCCCACTCAGGGCTGATGGCCCCACCAGCACCGAGGGCCAGAAGAGGCTCCCGGACCTGGAAGTCGAACCCCGGCATGGTGCCACCTTGTGGTCAAAGGGGGCAGCGCAGGGCCTCCCCTCTGTTCCTCCCCTTGGCTGTGCAAGGGGCCGGGAGAGTGTGACAAGTCTGACTCAGACCCACACCTCCCGTTGCCAGGTCAAAGTGGCATTGAGCTCGCCAGGCGGCTCAGGTGACACAGCCATCGCACCCTGCACCCAGGTTGCACTCCTGTCTTGGCTCCTCCAGGGACGACGGGGGCTTGGGTCGCCCCGAGCTGAGCTGATACGGGCTGCACCTTATCACTGCTCCATGTCCTGATGCACGACCCCAGAGAGATGCTCCAAGACAGAGGCAGCTTCCTCCAGAAAACCTGCCTCCTGCCACAGACGCCAAGCCAGCCAAGTGCAGCAAACGCCAGCCTCGGGCCACTTTATTTATTTTTATTTTTGAGACAGGGTCTCGCTATGTGGTTCAGGCTGGCCTTGAGCTCACTGTGTAGCCCAGGCTAGTCTCGAACTTCAGTGATCCTCCTGCCTCAGCCTCCTGAGTGCTGGGATTACAGGCGTGTGCTCCCACACCCAGTCCACTCCTAGATTGAGAAAGAAGCTGTAAGGTTACGGGCACTGCTGTGGGGAGGATGTGAGCAGGGTTAACTGGCTGTTGTTGCTGTTAACTGCTGAGTAAAACTTTCTGATGCCATCTACTCTCACAGCCCTGTGAATGAGACACCATGGTTACGATATGATATTTTCATGAGAAAATTCAACTTTTTGAAAGATGACTCCAATTATTTCTGGTGGCCTTTTCACCTGTGATAGCCTGAAAAAAAATCAAAATATAGAGTTTTGCTTTCTTTCTTGGGGAGAGTAACACTAAACTTTGTTTTGAGTCAAGGTTTTCTCAGCAACCCAGCTGGCCTCAGATGCAAGATCCTCCTGCTCAGCCTCCTGAGTGCTAGAATTACAGGCTGTGCCACTTTGCCTGGCTCGATAAATTACTAAATCACGTACAAAGCAAGAACCACTCCATGCCGTTACTCATCTGACATTAAGATTTTTGTTTCTCCTTGTTTATATGCAGTGACCGAGTTTGTCATAAAGCAGTATGAATAATGGATATAAAATGTTTTGATGCTATGTAAGAATGTCAAATTTAAAAAGCCAGGCTGGGGATTTAGCTCAGCGGCATAAGCGTTTGCCTTGCAAGTGCACGGTCGTGAATTCAATCCCTGGTACCGCCAAAAAAAAAAAAAAAGTATTCTATAAAAAAATAAAGCCAAATTTGCTACTACATTTATGCTTTAATGTGCCCTTCTGTGTGTTTGGCATGAGAGTGAAGTTAATTCTCAGATGTAAATTTGGGGCTTCCGGGGCTTGTCACCCCGTTCGGTGACACTGGAGAGGCTGGGGCAAGAGAAGATGTGACAGGCCTGAGGGAGCTCTGCTCCCCTAAAACCCGGCCCCCTCCTTGGCCGGACACTGCGCGGAGATGGATCCTCTTTTCACGCTGTTGTTGTAGCAGTGCAGGCAGAGTACCCCAAGGGTCAGCTGTCCACCAATCAAAATGCAGCCGAGAAGGCCTGAGGCTGACAGCGCCTGCTGCGCCCCCACAGGTTGTAAGTGACCAGAGCAGAGACGCCCGGTGTTCCTGGAGAGCAGCGGGGCTCCCCCGGCTCCTCTAAGCAGAATAAGGATCAGCACCACCTAGGAAACTGCTCTTCCAGAAAACACATCAGAGTCTGATCCACCCAAGAATAACGAAGGAAGAAAAGTGCTCCGGTAGGGTCCAGGGTGCCTCTGGCTACACCTCCCTCTTCTGGCCAGGCTGAGAACTGCAGCCCGCAAGTCAGATTGCAGCTTCGGAGGGTGAATGGGTGGGTGTGTGTCTGCGTGCGTGCGTGCGTGCGTGCGTGTGTGTGTGTGTGTGTGTGCGCCTGCGTGTGTATTTCACCCACCTCTCTGGGGAACCCTCAAGCCGAATCAGAACCCCTTTTTGCCTGTGGGTAGGAGCCACCCTGCTGCTTGTCATGCCTGCGCTGGTTTGTGTGCAGTGCTGTTCTGATCCCAGCTAGGGAGTCCTTTGGGGCTAGGCAGCCCAGAACTGCGTGGTCCTCTCTGTAGACACCGGGCCACAGGTGAGAGGCCATCCAGCCGGGTTCCTCCCCCAAAGCCACAGGCCACCCTCACTCCACACCAGCCGTGCTGTAGCTGTGGGTGATGTAGGAGGCCTGCAGGGCCACAGGTGTGAGGCCACACCTTCTCGCCCACAGCACCGAGCCTGGATTAAGCACCGGATGCTGAGGGCGCAAACGTTTCCTAGTAAATCAGCTGCTGCTCAAAGAAGACCACACACCCTGCAGAGCCGGGCTGTCTGCCAACCTGGCTGCAGGACAGCAGTGTTCCTCAGCAGACTGGAAGCACAGGAGGACTCTGGCCTGGCACAACCAGTCTACAAAGCAGTGGCCGGGTAGGCAGGGTGAGGTCCTGGGAGCCCAGGAGGGGCTGGAGTACCTGGTGCCCACGGGGCAGCCCTGCAACTCGGGGACACAGCTGTAGGCCAAGGGCACTTCATCCATCTCCAGCCTCTTGGTCCCTCCCAAGGGGGTAGCCCAAGGCAGCAGACCGAGGTCTAATGCCCAGTGCCTTGTGGCAAAGGGACCTGTGAGTGTGGGACCTTTGCCCCAGCTACCTCCCAGAGCGGGTGACGTGGGGCAACGCTCCTGGGCCGCAGTGACTCTGTGTGGGGGTGGGCAGGGAGGTAAAACAAAACACCGGCCCTCATGGGTGTTTCATATACATATTTATATATATATTTCATGTACAAAGTTACATTCCGAACCCCAGGGATTCCATAATAGAAATAAATACTGAAATGACTACACTGCTAAAGAGCTTCCTGCTCCCAGCGACGAGCCTCGCCTCTGCCAGGCAGCAGGTGGGCGCGCATAGCACCCGACTGCAGAGGCGAAGAGAACCCGGGTCAGATGCTAGCACGGAAGCACACTGAGAACGGAACGGCTGAAATTTACCCGATGCTGAGAACGCAGGACGAGGGCATTAACAAAACTTCTGATAGAAAGAAAAGACATTTAGTGTTACATAACATCACGACCCTGTTAGAAAAGGTCCACGGCTCTGAGCTTTTCTCCCCTGCCCACGCTACGCAGCAGGATGGGGGTGTCCCCTCCTGGGCACCGCCCAGGGAGAGGGCCCGGGTGCCGGCTCGGTCCCTTGGTAGCAGTCATGGCACGGGAAATGCTGAGACCCACAGGGCTGGCAGGACCTGGCTCTCGAGGATGGCTCGCACCATGAGACGCTTGTCCTGCTGTTCAGTTACTAAGGCTGCCGATGCTGGGGTTCCTTCCCAGATGTGGGGAGCTCTGTAGCATAGGAGATGAACGCGGACGCAGCCGAGAGCACGGATTTTAACGCCGTCTATGCAAACACGTTTCACCTTTCGGAAATGCCGTGTGCTGCATATTTTGTGCTAAGAATGTCTCACACTCTCAAAAAGCTGCGGCTTGTAAGAGATTCATTCCTATTGCAGCGCTTTAGATCCACACGGGTTGGAGAGAAGCACTCGAGTGAGTCCCTAAAAACATCCTCTCTTTCTGCAGAGCTGCTGACCTGCACGTGACAGTGAACATGAGGCTGTAGCCCACATGGTGCCGTTTTGGAGACCAGCAACTGCAGAACACTGGGAACCTCACGGCCTCACACAAAGGTTAAAAGGCCAGGAAGAGGGGTTCTCGTTCGGTTCCCAGTTTCCTCCTTGGGAGACTGAGCCAAGGTGCTAGCTATGGGCGCTTTACACCCACACTGCTTGGCAATGGCTGACATTTGCCATCTCTCACAGAGGTTACCACTGTGACCAAAGTCAATGTCGTGGGATGTAAACCTGTCATTGGGGAAAGAGGAAGGGAAGCAGCCTGCAGAAAAATTTTAGCTGACATTACAAACACACACCCAAACCTTCAGGACAAACTGGGCATTGTGTCCATCCTGGTACCTGAATGAACAGGGCCACGGATAACCGTCCTCTGTAGTAAGATGTACACCTGTGGTCCTCAAGGTAAAGCAATCACCACCACGGTGACACGGGGACACCTGCTATCTTCAGGTGCTGACTCCCCAGGTGCCCGCCAGGCACATATGTGAGTCCTGCCTCTGGGACACTTCCTCAAAATCCCCACACTTTGGCATCTCCTTTGGAATTTACAATTTCCAACAAATGTTTAATAATGCTTTTTGCTAGGTATTGCCAAAAAAAGGGGGCTTAAAATAAAAGAAGAACATAGTAATTAAGCTATGGAAAAGTGGCCTAAGTTTTGTCTCAAAGAAAAGTGAGTAAGTAGTAGTTCAAGCAAAACAATTATCCTCCAAATGCAGCGTTTGTCCAGGCTCCCTCCTAAAACCCACACGGCCACGATTCTGCTGTGTACACGAATGTGCTTATAGACGCATGTGGCTAAGTGGACCCGAAGGCCTCCCTGGCTCGTCCAGTCCCATGATTTTAAATTCCAGCCTAAATATGGGTACGTGTAAAAGTTGCGGGTGTACATTTTATAGATATTTTTGCACAACGGTTCAGGAGAAAAATTGCTGGCACTTAATGTCTAGACAGTTAAGAGACCTGGGTTTGCTTGCTTTTCTTGGACGGTCTGTAGGGAGCGGCAGGGCCGGATCAATGGTCCTTCCAATGACTGGGGGGACCTTCTTTCTATAGATTTGCATTTTTAAAATAGCACATGAAGCCGTAATTTAGCTTCGAGTAATGGGGGGAAAATGGTACATCACACGTGTTCAGGAAGTTGGAGAGGGTTAACACTACAGCATCACGGTTTTAAAAAACACACTGAGCAAGAAAATCAGTAAAACCCAGACTCCAATCAGTTTTACGAGGACACTGTAAGAAGACGTGGTGCCAGTCCTGGCCTTATGTGTGGCCTTAGCATCACAGAGAACAGAAGGAAACAGCTTTCCCCGCCCACCTTGGCAGTCAGCCAGGGCTGAGGCTGCTGCGGGTCAGCCGTCACCAGCAGCTCTGCACAGCCAGAACAAGGGCAGACAGGTGCAGTTTGACATGGAATAAAACCAAACATGGACCAACCACCTCCGTCTGCCAGAACCAGGTATACAAAACACAACTCCTTTTAAAAACTTCCTGATGCTTAAGCATCTTCTGATTTCTCCAGAGGTCATCTCAGCTTTGTAAATAAGCAGCCTCTCAGCCATGTCAGCATGGAATTGAGTGCAACTAGTGAAAACATCGGAATTTTCTGAGAAGCAGGCCTCAGAAACTTTAGAGCTCTAATAAAACAGAAAGAGGAGATTTTATTTAAATAGTGTAGTCTTAATTTCTTTAATATAAAACCCCCAAATCTGCTGAAAACAAAGTTTTATATACCATATAAACAAGATTTGTCAGACTTGAAAGTGAACGTTAATTTACAGTTAGCTTTTGGCCCTCTTGGGACAGTTAGATAAATCTGCTGACCATCTGCCATTAGTGTGTCAATTTTATAATACACAGGGGAGAACTCTTGTACCTAATGGTACAGTTCCACGTATCAAGTGTTTCCCATTAATTCCATTATTAGTGACAGCTAAGCAGTGACCCCATTGAGTGAAGCGCGTGCCCCTGGCCGGGGCTGGACGGCCACATCTGGTTGCTCCAGTCTCCAGTTGGCAGCAGTGGGCACGCTCCGAGTGGCTCCTAAGACGCGAAAACTGCCTGTAACACTGGTGCAGCAGGACGTGAGCTCCCGGGATGCGCGGGCAGACAGGTTCCAGGCACAGAGTTAGCAGGCGGAAATGCTCCCGTGGTGTGTGTGAACACTGAGCGCACGGGAGAAGGGGAGAAAGTAAAATGAACCATGCAGAAGACACGGCGCCCGCTCCTGCAGCTCTGGGGCTCACTCACTGCCACACATCACTTGCCACACGATCAAGTGGCTCCTCTCCGCTTTGGTGACAGACGGCTCCAGGGGGAGGTCCTCGCCCAGCAGCTCTGATTCTCCGCCCTCATCACCTGGCGGGCAACAGGGAGACCTGAGTAAGGCTGAGGATGGAAAATGCAGGGCCAGGGAGACGCGCACCATGCTGGTCGCCAGCCGTGAGAGTGTCCGGGAGGAGACGGTGGGGGCCAGAGACCTCACGGGCTTCCCCACGCCCCGGATCTCCAGGGCCGAGGTGCTTTCCTCGACATTCCCAGTGCGCACTGACTGCACCTCAGGGCACAGAGCTGAAAGTGAGAGGTGAAGCCACGTGCTCTTCCCAAAGGGACCGTCTAATCTGGTTCACACCACACCAAGCCATGAGGTCCATGAGAGCCAGGCCTGCACACAGACTGACCCACCAGAGCACTCGGGGCAGCAGTGACAGGGGCCGGGTGCTCTGGGACACAGAGCACATACGCTCGGGTTTTCCTGAAGACCTCGGATTCGTCACCCCTACTTTACGTTCTTCTTCCCAGGGTTCTAAGTTCAGGGCAAGTCACAGTGGTCATTGGAACAGGAAGACACCAGGGGCTTATACAAGGGTGCCATCCCTGAGCTGTGATGTGTCCCTGAGCCCTGTTGGATGGGCTGTGTCACCGAAGCTGGTGACAACCTGGCCTCAGCAGAAACTGAAAGCCATGCACAGCAAGGGACAAAGATATCCTACTGCCGCGTTAGAAATTTTTTTCTTTTTTTTTTTTTTGAGACAGAGTCTATGTAGTTCAGGCTGGACTTGATCTCACTACATAGGCCAGGCTGGCCTCAAACTTACACCAATCCTCCTGCCTTAGCCTCTTGAATGCTGGGATTATAAGCATGTGCCACCATGTTCGGTGACTTACAGGAATTTTGCTTTACTTGAATTTTGGATGGCCAGAAAAAAGTACTGATAGTTTTCACATGGCATCAAACCAAGGAGAGAAGCCTGCTCAGGATAAAAATCAATTTCTCAACTAAAACCTAACTATAACCACGTGGTTAGAAAGTTAAAAAAAAAAAAAAAAAAAAAAAAAAAAACAGTGTTTCTCCAAATTTTCTTTTTCAGGCAGTGCTGGGCGCCAAACCCAGGGTTTGCTCATGCTGGACACATGTATTTTAAAAGATCACAATGGTAATGATGGTAATGACTGATTCACTGAGAGAAGAGATTGCTGACTCCTGCTGAGTTGTTCTGTCCTGAAGATTCTACATTCCTCAGTTAATGTAAACCATTAAAAATTTGGAATTGTTGGGATCAATTTCTCACTGTTAAAATATTAAGAGGAAATGAAACAAAACAAGATCAAATTTAATTTTTTAAAAAAGCGTATTTACAAGCCAGGCGTGGTGGTGCACACCTGTAAACCTAGCATTCAGGAGGCTGAGGCAGGAGGATCGTTGCAAGTTGGAGACCAGCTACAAGGTGAGCTCAAGGTCAGCCTAAACTGCTTATCAAGACCCTGTCTCAAAAAGATTAAAAAAAAAATGTGTGTATTTACTATTAAAGTCATCCTATGTTTAAAGACAAGTCTATTTTTCCACCTGGATACCAGAGATACTGCCAAACCCATTTTTATTATGCTGTTTCTGGGACTGCAATGGAAGGAATTTAGTGGACTGGAAAACTACAGACTTTACTAACACACTCCTTAGAATGTTTTCAGTGGCACATCACAGTCCGGGAGAACGTGACAAAAATCACCCAGCCAACAAGACACGCCATGATCCCTCTCCACAGGGGATTCACTGCCACCAGCACTCTGGGAGGGCAAGGCCGAGACGCTGAGCTCTGCGGGCGCCTCTGCAGACAGCTTCTGAAGGCCTGGCCTCTTCCCTCAGACTGTCAGTGGGCGCTGGGTTCACACACTGCCACCTCCACGGCCCTGCGTCACTTCTTACACAAGCCGCATCTCAAACTCGTATCTGTCATGAACACAGCGCTGCATTTAACACCACCTTACCTTCTGTTTGCTTCTTTCTTGAGACAGGGCTGCCCTTGAAGTCAGAGTGACCCTATCTCAGCCTCCCGAGAGCTGGGGTTACAGGCCTGTGCCACTAAGATTCCAGGCTAGTTTATGTGCTATGGCAAGTGTTTGTACTTGCAGAGTGCTTTGCAACGGTTTCCAAGCTCCTCCCTGCCAGCCGCCTGCGTCTGTCCCTCACCACCCATGCAGACTCTTTCCTGTCCACTGACTACACTTCCCCAAGCTCTTTTCTCCCGGATGCCCACCTGAGTCGCTCCCCCCATGCAAGCCTCACAGGAAGGCAGGCCTGTCCTCCTCGCCCAGCTCCTGGCCCCCTCGCTGCGCTGTTCTGTCCTCTGTGGTGGGCGGTGGCCTGGCACTGGTTTCAAGCTGCAAGGTTTGTGAGTGAGGAAATGAACACATGAAAGTACTTCCGATACCAACTATGCTTCTGCACTTCAGGAAGTATTTTTATCTCCTCATCTTGCAGGTGAGAAAACTGAGGCTCTGGGGGGTTGGCTGCACGAGGCCTTCTGATGCCAAATTTTAAGCTTTTCAAGTGAAACTCAACCACTGGCCACTTCCTGTTATTCCTAGTGCTACCTCAAACAAACACACTTTGTGTGCAAAGAAATGCACATGCACGCACACACACACTCTCCCAAGTGAAGGGAACTGAGGAGTCCTGCTCAGAGTGGCTTCTCATGGAGCTGGGTGACACACACTCACCCATCCGGAAGTCTATGTAGCCCTCACCGCCGCTGATGACCAGCATGGCCTTCAAGGGCGCCTGGCTGCCAGGCTCCTGCGCTGAGGGCCCCGCTCTGTCAGCCACCAGGTCCGTGCCCCCGCCGCCGCTCTGCGGGCTGACCACTTGCCCTGTGTTACATAGGAAGAGGTTAGACCGTTACTTACCCCGGAGGCCTGGGGAAGGCTGCTTTTCTCTGAATTTTTTTCAGAGCGTTAAAAGGAAAAATGTTAACACATTCTGAAGTATGACCTAAATCTGGAGGTGCTCTGCGTAAGAAAATCGTGACAGGAGCATCACAGGAGCCCGGTCTGGAAACCTTACATAATGCAGCTCTGCGCTGAGCAGGAATGAGCACAAAGCCCAGCAGGAGACGTGTGCACGACGGGGTGGGTCTCGGCTGCCTCCATTTGCCACGTGTGCCTTCCAATACGAGGGTGCTGGGAGCTCTCCCCAAAGGGTGAGGAGACAGAAAACTCCAAATCCATGAGCTCCCTCTTTCCCTGTGTGGGAGCTAAGGCAAGAATTCAGCCACTGGCTACACCCAAGCCCTTTATAAATGTGATTGTGAAATGGGGTCTTTCTAAATTGCCTAAGCTGGCTTGCACCTTGTCCTGCTTCAGCTACCCAAGTACACAGACCACACCGTGCTAGGCTCTCTGGCTCTCTGCTTAGAGCTCGGGAAAGTGCATCTCATCTTTTAGAGCATGTGAGTAACATTGTTGCAAAATGTACCACTTGTTCCAAAATTCAGTTCTAAGCTCAAATCCTTGAGCACAAAACAGTCCTCCTAGGAACAAATGCACCATCTGCAAGGCACCCTCCTAGAAAACTCTGACTGGAAGTTGTTTTTTTGTTTTGTTTTGTTTTGTTTTTGCCAACATCTTGTATTATCATTCTGGCCCAATCACACAGCCTGTGGCAGCTAGCAGGACAGAACCGTAAAACGTGATATACTACATTGCTGATACTAATAATGTTGCCGATTTGACTTTAGTTTTATGCTTAACATAAAATTTCTGAACAGATCCCTAAGGAGGCCTGCCTTTGCAGGGCACAGTGGTGCAGCCTACAATCCCGACACTCTGGGAGGCCCGGGAAGGGTGGGTTGTAGGCTGGAGCCTGGCCTACGTGTCTTAGTGAGACCCTGAGCGCTGTGTTTAACAGTGAAAAACTGGGAGTAGAAACCTTGAGGTCTATCAACAGAAGAATAAATAATGCACAGCACATTTATTCAGACATGAGACCACCGCTGTTCAGCCCACCAACCCGTATGAGTAAACATGCTGGTGCAAGAAAGCCTCCAGAACGAGCGCACCCAAACTGTAGGAGCACTGAACTTCCCGGGACCAGTGGGAGCAGCAGACACAGCCAGACACAGCATGTTCTGGCCTCCGGCCAAGGCCCGGGGCCTGATGGGCGTCCACAGGTGGTCCTGTCCCATGCATGTTTGGCCACACGCTTTGTGGTGCTCTTGTGGAGCTGAGCGGCTCAAATGCCCCTCTCTATGTCACGCAGTTAGTGTGTGCGTCAGAGCTAGCTCTGTCTTACCCTGAACTAGCCTCTCTGGGGAACATGTTTTTTAAACCCTGCTTACAGATCGCCTGTGACACTGCTTTCCTACACTCAGAGGATGGAAAGTTTTCACGACTGTCACAACCAGCAAGATGGGTGGGTGCTCGCAGGTGCTGAGGACGCAGCAGCAGAGGCTGAGCGACTGCTCAGGGGGCAGGTGCACGCACACAGCCTGCCCCGGCCACCTACGGCCCCGGCACGTGCCTCTCTTCTTGTCTCAGCTGGGTGACTGAGGTGTCTCTGCAGTGATTGCCTGCATGAGCCTGAGACTGCTGCGGCTATGCTGAAGGAACACTGCTGCCCTTTCAGAGGGGAATCCAGCAACCCTTCACCTAAGTGCCCCACTGCACTGCACATGAAACCGGGGCCAGGACGCAGGGACATTGCGGAGACCCAGGGCACCGTTGTCCCCGCAGAGCACCCTGACTCACCTGGGACAGCCACGAAGAACTTCACGGCATCCCGGTGCCCGTGGAAGCAGAGCTGCGCGTGTGCCATGGAGCAGTATGGTATGAAGGTCCCTGGGGTCACTTTGTCGCTGTTTTCGTCACCATAGACACGGATGACACTTCCAGGACGATTTCCTGGTGCTCCTGAGGTTTTATTTGCTGCAATGGAAAAATCAAAGGCCAAATATTTTCCCCTGGAAGACGGCGATGACCCCAAGAGGTTACTGGTTAATCCTTAGAATGTGATCTAAAAGCTACAGCCAGTCGAGGTGAGACAGGGACAGCGACACCAGTTCAAGGCAAAGCTGGAAAAAGAGATGGCATGCCTGTTATTTTTAAGTACCTTGGGCAGCGGAGCAGGGGATTTTGCCAGTCTAGCGTAGCTATTAATTTTTAGAAATCATTTTGGTTAACCATGTGCAGACTGCAGTCTACAGAAATGGGTGTATTTTCTCTGCAGTTTACATTCTGATTTTTTCTCCCCAAAGTAAGATTGTGTCCCTGGAAGTGGGCGGGAGGGCCGTGTTAGAGGAACCCCGCCAGGGCACAGGGCAGCCCACGGCCACACCAGCTTGTGTCTGCTGGGGACCCAGGTGGCCAGACTCACAAGCACCCCCACTCCCCAGGACGTGGGGAGAGAAACGTGAACGTAACGAGATCGTAGCAAGGAGAGGATGTAGATTAATGACAGTTTAAGAGATGTTTCAAGTTTTTATTGCCAGGAAAACAAAGTCTGAGGGTGAATTCAGCTGCAACAGAAGATGATAAATAGATGAAGCTGCTGAGCACTGGTGGCCAAGTGACAAACGTTAAAACAACACCAGCTGCGATGCAGGGCTGCGGGGTGGGGGACACTGAGGCACATTCGAGGGGGTCTGGGGGAGCCTCCTGTGGCCAGGATCTGACTTACCCCTCAGCCCCAGTAAACGTCCCTGGTGGAGGATTACGGCTGAAGTGAGAGAGGAGGAAGGGGCCATGGAGGCGCGCGACCGCGGAGGGTGGCACTGAGAGCCGACGTCAGCATCCCTCACCTGCCCCCACTAGCCCCAGCGAGGAGATGAGCACCAGCAAGTGGCCTCCCCTGGGTCACTGGGGTCCCTGCCAGACCTCCGCAGAGAGCGAGTTCCAGAGGACAATTTGGTTTTCAGCAATTTGGGTTTCTTTAATGTTAAAGCCACTTTCATGCCTATGAATCAAATTCTTAAGAACTTGATATTGAGCATTTCCTAACTGCTTACATTTTCCCTTTTCTTTGTTATCTGTGTATGAATGTATGTGTGTGTTTTGTTTAAAGAAATCCTATTATCTGTGCCTATTATAAGACCTGGAATGAAATCCAGGGATGCTGGAATCTCTGAGACATAAGAAGTCTATCAACACGCAGATCTGTTTTTGATTTTATGAGACACAGTCTCACTACATGACTCAGGCTGGCCTTGAACTTGCTATGTAGTCCAGGCTGGCCTCAAACTCACAGCAATCCTCTTGCCTCAACCTCCCAAGTGCTGGGATGACAGGCATGTGCCACCATGCCTGGCTCCAAGAATGTGGGTTCTTCAGACCCCAGATATACCTTCTAGTCCTCCTTCCCCTCTCCCTGAAAAAGGACACGGGAATTGACGTCTGTACTTGTAATTCTCTGCCCATGAATACTGCAACACAAAAACATTCACTTAATAGATCATGCCTGTCATCCCCGTACTCAAGAGGCTGAGGCAGGAGGATTATTGTGAATTTGAGGCCGGCCTGAGCTATAAAGTGAGCTCAAGGCCAGCCTAAACTATATAGTGAGACCCGGTCTCAAAAAAGACGACAAAAAAAAAAGAGGATCAATGCAATGGAGAAACATACAAGGTACATTTTGTTTGCAAAAGTAATAAATCGCATTCTTTTTTAACACACGATAGGTTGCTGGTCTCCAGGACAAGGGAAAGCTTCTCCCACATTTTCTTTATGAACCACAAACAGGACAAACAGGATTTCCTAAACTATAGTCAAGGGGGATATAAAAACTAGGGTTAGCTTGGGCGTGGTGACATCTGCAAACCCAGCAGGACCCTGTCTCCAAAAGGAAGGCTGGAATGCTAATGCAGCTTAGGGTGAGGCCCTGGGTTTGAATCTCTATTACTGCAAAAGCAAGAACAAAAACACAGTGGCAAGTGACAGTATCTAGGGATGCTGGTATAACACAGTGAAAGAAAAATGGGTTTCAGCTCTTATTTCAAAGGAGAAACAGACCATATAACTCCTAAAGTAAGGGAAAAGCCTCTTAAATGACAGGTATTAATTATGAACACCAGTTCTGACGTGGGGCTCATAAGTTTCATGAAGAATGGAGGTCAGCATGATTTTCTGAGTCCCCGCAAACATGCGGGGAGACCTGAATGCCTGCTTCTTCCTGCGTGCTGGCCATGACTAGTTCCTACATGCCCTCACGTCCTGGGACAGTAACCTGAAAGTGTACTTACTTTCTGTCAACGGGATGGAGATAATGACACCATTTCCTGTCCCCACCCATAAACGATTGCAGGACACCATAAGAGCTGTGATCCTCACGAAGGAGAAGCCCAGTTTCCCAGTACCTGCAGTGGGAAGAGAGGGGCGTCTTACTGAGAAACCAGAACAGACAGTGTTTCAACTCCAAATCCCTCAGAGCCGCTTCACTGTCCAGCTACAGGACACGTGCTGAAGAAGCGCCTCAAGGCACATGTTTCCTTGGCTTTAGCATCTACTTCCAAGGAAAGGTTAGCAGAAAAAGACAGCTCTCATTCTGTCCTCTTTTTTTTTGGTACCAGGGATGGAACTCAAGACTTCTTGTTTGCCAAGCAGGTGCTTATGCCACTGAGCTAAGCCACCAGCCCAAAATGCAGTCTCAAAGTGGCCAACATTCAGAAAATGAAACACTTCAGGAGACATGACCCACGGTTTAGTTATGGGCCTGCAAAACCGAGCTGAACCAAAATGTACCCAATGAAAAACCTTCACTAGATTAGGAAATCCAATGTCCTCTGGATACGTAACCTGGGAAACTTCAGGTTTGCCTTAAAGTTCTTTACATAGATGTTAAAAACAAGCCTTGCTAACAAAACTTTATATATTTGGGTTTATATATTTGGATTCTAAGGCAGTTTAAAATATTAGGGTGTCAAATATAAATACTGTAGGGAGAATGAATGTATTTCTGTATCTCCAGAGAATTTTTATTTTTTAATTTTTTTTAATATTTATTTATTTATTTATTTTGTCTTTTTCGTTTTTATCGGTACCAGGGATCGAACTCATGACTGCCTGCTGGCAAGGCAGGCGCTTATGCCGCTGAGCTAAATCCCCAGCCCCTCGAGAGAATTTTTATAATTGACCTTATTTTCCGAGAGTTCAGAGGCAGAACGAGTCAACAGACAATTCTGCTAGACAAACAGCACCGGCTTACAGGGAACTGTGGGTCTGAAGTCCAGTCAGCCTACACTAGGACCCTCGAGCCTCCGGGAACAGCTCAGCTCCAGGATTAGTCTCCCCACACCTGATCCCGGGGTTCAGGGTTCACAGCTACAGCCAGGTTCTCCAGGACAATGACCCTAACAAGGTTAAAAAACACTAACATGGCCAGACATAGTGATACACACCTGTAAGCCCAGCTACTCAGCAGGCTGAGGAGGAAGCCAACTTGGAAACTTAGTGAGAAACTGTCCCCCGTCCACCAAAAATAAAATAAAAAGCGGTAGGTGATGCAGATCCAACTGCTAGTATCACAAAAAATCCAAAAACAAAACGACGATCTGGTTCAACTTGTCTTCATCAAAGAAAGCCCTGCAACAGCCCTAGCAATAACACAGCACTGGACAAGCTACTAAAATTCCAGCAGTAAATGGGCCAACAACCCACACCCTCCCTGAGCCGGGGCAGCTGCGGGTCAGGAGGACCAAGAGCCACCCCCACCCCGCCATGAGCCAGCCAATGCCAGGACTGGAGATAAGGCGGACTCTGTCACCAAGAAACCGGCTGCTTTGGAGACGCACAGGCTGGGAGGATAGCAACTGAAGTAAAAAACAAAACAAAGCAAAAACAACTCAGTGCCTGCACTGTTTGACTTTGCAGGCTTAAAGCTGGTGGTCTGAGCATCTATTTAGAGGATAACAATATGCAATATAGCAACGATGGGGGATTTCCTTCCATCCTGTTTCTAAAATCCAGTATTGCTCTCTCTGTTTAGTACTCAGGCGAGAGGTAGCGCCTGCCCTTTGCAGGCCTGTGGTCAGTGGGGGAGACACGAGCGCAAGAACCACACAGTGCTGGTGTGGCCAGTAATGTGAAGCTGAGGATGAAGGGTACTCGAGCGCCCGAATGCAGGCCTCGCTGGGTACAAGGTGCAGGCTACAACCTGGAAGTTCTGGGAAAGACACCAAGAACCTGCCGGACCAAGGACTCCACTCGCGGCTCTGGGTCAGTGGGTTGAGTGTGCTCCCCACTATCTGAGATCCCCGACTAGGCGATACATGTCACCTCACCTAGAAGGTGGGGGGAATGTGCACCAAGGTAACTTCTGCACAGCGGCCACCATACAGAGCAGGCTGACCAGCAAGCAGGGGAGCAGTTGGGAGTCATGTGTTGGGGACAGCAGAGGGGAGATGAGGGAGTCACTGAGTTAAGGTGATTTTGGAATTGACGGAGTTCCTGACAACGGACAAAACTGCATCAGGGAAACGTCCCAAGCATCCCACCTGCCCATCTGGAACCACAAGGTAGCCTGCAGGGTCCGCTGGACACCTTCCAGGAAAAGTTCCCACTCCTGAAGCCATGCCCCACCTAGGCCACTCGCTTCTGAATGAAGAGGGCTGAGGGCCCAGACAGTTCTGGCCCAGCTCGTGCCAGGCCCCCCACGGACACAAGGTCCTGAAAAACCCCACATCCTCTGTGACTGCCGAAGAGGAAGCGGCACGGAACTCACCTAACATTTTGCTGACGTAAGGCTCAATGTCCACGTCCTGCAGGTGCTGGTAAGTATGCGCGTGATAGAGGCGCAGTGTGGAGTCCAGGCGGATGGAGACCCATACACCATCGCCCACCCAGGCCAGTTGCCGCACTTGGCTCTCCTTCCGGGGGTGTGCATCAAAGGATTTCTAAGAGAGACCATCCCGTCACATAAGCACTTTTGGTGCACAGGGAAGTGTTTTAAAAACTGCTAATCCAGCCAGCTGTGGCAGGACACCCATAGACCCAGCACTTGGGGGCTGAGGCAGGCAGATTCACTGTGAGTCTGAGGCCAGTCTGGGCTACACAGTGAGTTCAAGAGCAGCCTGAACTACAGCAGAAACCTGTCTCAAAACAATAAGCAACAAAACAAAGGCCAATCTGCATAATCTAGCAGACTATTCACTTAATCAGATTCCTCTTCTAGATGCAATTTGCTTCATCCTGGCATGAAAAATAAGTAAAATGAGGAAAAGGAGTCCATGTGGTATTGGCCTGGGCATCAGGCAGCTTCCACACTGTGCAGTGCTCACTGAAGCCTGAACTTGGATTCTGGGCCACTGCAGAGCCAGAAATGAAGTCTGACTGCAGCTACAGACAGGTGCCCTCGCTACTGTGCAAGGAACAGACATGGAAAACGGACCCCCAGTGGCTACCTGTGGGGCTTCTAAGAGAGGGGACAGGACCAGGAGTTGGAAGGGAGAAATTCTACCCTAAAATTTCCTGCTGTATGTTACTTAAATAACTGAAATGAATTTATACAGTGTGGCAAAAAGCAATACTAAGGTTCTGTCTTTAAACAAATTCCAGAGAGCTGGCGATTTAGCTCAGTGGCGTAAGCGAGTTCAATTCCTAGTAACCCTCTCCCCCCGAAAAAGTGAATTCCCCCTGCAATGTTACTTCTCGGTTTGTGACACATGTGTGGGTGTGCCTGGGTGTGCACGAGGTGGTGTGGGAGGCTCGGGAATGCTCCTCCCCCGCAATCCTGACAACACAGCAGCACGATGGGTTCACCAGGCACGCTGTGCACTTGTCATCGAAGCTTTCTGGGGGTTGAGGCTGGAGGATCCCAAGTCTGAGGGCAGCTGAGGCAATTTAGTGAGACCTTATCTCAAAATTTTATGTTTCCTATTCTATTTTTTGGTCTTTGGTCACTGTGCAGCCCAGGTAGCCCTGAACTTTCTGTGATCCTCGTGCCTCAGCCTCCCAGGTGCTGGGACCACAGGCTGAGTCACTGCCCCCAGCTGTAAGTGTTCAGAAGGGCTAGGGATGTAGCTCAGTGGTTGGGTGTTTGCGTAGCATGCATAAGGCCCTGGGTTCAATCTTCAGTTATCCCAAAGAACTTTTTTTTCTTTTTTGGTATCAGGTCTCGAACTCATCACATCGTGCTTGCCAGGTAGGTGCTTATGCCACGGAGCTAAAGTCCCGGCCCTCAAAAAACTTTTTAAAAACTATTCAAATAAAACGTAACCCCATGCCAGACATGGTGACACATGCCTGTAATCCCAGTACTTGGGGAGCTGAGGGTACACGGTGAGTCCAGGCCAGCCTGACCTTCACAGCAGGGCCTTGCCTTGCCTCAAAGAGCAACAAAAACACACATACACACGCACAGGACAGATACAGACATAGGAAGATTCAAGTGTGAACTGTCCTCCTTTCCAAACAGAGGAAACGAGCAAACACTTCCCAGCCTCCTAATAAAAGCAGCAGGAGAGCCAGGCTGACACAGAAGCAAGCCCCAGCATCCACCCCCTCTGCAGTGTCCCGAAGCACAGACGTGGAGGGCTCCTGAGGGGCAGCCCTCGTGGCCTCGCGGCCCACGGCGACTTGCCTCTATTCGCATGGCCTTGGGCTGCACCACGTAGACCTTGTTCCTGTAGCCGCACCACACTTTGTCGTGCACCACGGTCATGCACCGGATGGAGTGGTGCGGCCGCCCCAGGTCCAGGAGGTGGTAGTTGGACAGGTCCCACTGGCCATCTGTACAAGACAGGTCTCGGTTAACGCCTGCTGAGCCCCGGAGGCCTGGGCGCCTCTGCCTGCAGACGGGAGAAATGCCCCTGAGGGTACAGCTGGATGCGGTCTGAGGGTCACCTGAGCCAACCAGCCCACAAGACTCGGGTCTCCTTACAACATGCTCTCCAGTGCAGAGATGAGACGGACTGAGATAAGCCATCCGCTTACAGCAGTTACAAAACTGGAATGGACGTAAGGCTGGGCATTTGCTCAGTGGCAGAGGATCTGCCACGTAGGTGCCTGGTGCTGGGTTCCACCCCTCGCACTACTACACAGGTCCTCCCAGGACTGAAAGCTACTCTGCGGCAGTATCTCACATTTTCTGTATTTTCTTGAGTAGAAGTTAAGAGGCTCTTTGCTAACCCTTTAGGAATGGTGCACATGGTTTGAGGCCCTAAGCTGAAATCCAAACTATTTTGAGCTCCGACATGATAGTCATGTGTGGTTCCGTGCAAGTCAGTGAAGAGGAATAAACAGTCAGTACGGGACTAGGCCCTGGCCGATGGCACCCTCGGCATCCCTGCAGCAGCTCTGCTCTGCTTCCCAGAGCCCAACAGCCCTGTGTGAGCCCTGGCCTGTGTGGCCTGCAGGCGCCCTCCGAACCCACTGCACCCACATGCCTGCAAGCGCTACTCCCCTGATGCCCGGATGGACTGGTCGCCGCTGCCAGGCCCGGCCCGGCTCAGCTCTGCTCACTTTCTAGTCCTGTAGCCCCAGGGAATTCTTAATCTCCAGCTCCTCCTCCCAGCCTGCTCCTCTGAATCCACATGCAGTGCTTCACACTGATCCTCACTTTTTGTTAATAAAACGTTGGATCTGTTTTATCAGAATGTTTTAATTCCAGTTTTTCTAGGCTCTTTAATTTTGTGGCTGAGGGGCCCTGAAGAGGTGACTGAAATGCTTGTTTCCCACCTGTAAAGTGAGGAACGTTCCTTCTAAGTTCCTGCAAATATTAAACATGGAGATTCTATAACGGGCCTGAACAAAGTGAACCACAGCCTGCGCCTCCTTGGTGCTTCGGCATCATTAGCTAGGTCTCTTGAGGTCACCAAATGCCATCTGTAAGCCCAAAAGGGGATGATCTCGGAAAAATTCAAAGTCAGGTTCTCTATGTCTCTCTGGTACTTCCATCATCAATCTCTCTAGTGAGGAAGAAATGAACTGTCATTTTGGTTGATGTACGTAAAGAGGAGTTATGAAGTAATGTGTGCTGGATTTCCCTAACTGAATACACTCAACGTAGGTTTTCTCATACTACCACTCCTCCATTTCTGAGTGTAGAAACAAGTATTTTATTTAGTTTTTTGAGCCAGGGTAACTCCGGAGCTCAGGATAGCCTTCAACTCTTTACGTAGCTGGAGTGGAACTCATGATCCTCCTGCCTTAGGCTCTAAACAATGGTTTTAAAGAGGAATATAAATAGCAAGATGTAGCTGGATGTGGTGATATATGCCTGTAATTTCAGCACTTGGGAGGCTGAGGCAGGAGGAGGATCACTGTGAGTTCAAGGCTTTCCTGCCTACACAGTGAGTTCAGCCTGAACGAACTATAGAGTGAGACCTGTCTCAAAATCCCAACCCAACCAAACCAAACAACAACAAAAAACCCCTTTATAAATGTAAGTAGATGCACATTATTTTTAAGACACAGAAGAATAGAAAAAAAGATCTCATTTTTTCTAATGAAGTGTATGAATGCAAACAAACGCCTCTATGTGTAATGCCTCCATTACACAGAGTAGGGGAATGCTGAGCTCACTCCTGCTGGCAAGTGCACTTCCCAGGGCTGTACTGCTGCGTCAGGGAGCTCCCATTTAGTGACAGTTGACACTGCTAACGGTCAGTTTGAATCTGCTTTCTTCCACCTCTTAAGCACCACTTTACACTTTAAGTGGCTGAAAACCCCACGCAGGCCACACCCGTGCCTCACCACTCACCAACTCCTCTGTGGAAGATCGCGAGGGTGCCATCGGCCAGGGCCACCAACACGATCCCTTTCACGTGCCTGCAGACAGGAGAGGGATTTCAGGACCCGAGAGTGGGAACAGAATGGGCCATGGAGCCCTGAGGGCCAGGGATGCACGCAGGAGCGCGCTCGGCGACAGGTGCCTGAGCAAGCAGCCAGTGTGGGCCCAGGGCCACACGTCGACCCTCCACACACATGCGCAGCAGCCCTGGCGTCTCTCTGCCAGCAGCACGCGGGACAGGACCGGCACCTCATCCCCAGCAGACTGGAGAATATTCTGAAACAGTGAGCAGCGCTCTCCTCAGTGCTAAGAACCCCAGTACGGGCAGGAATCGCCCTGGCAAACCTGCCCTCTGGGTGCTTCCCTAGTTTACTTTCCATCGTGAAACTGCATTCTCATTCAACTTCTCCAAAGGAAAGGCTGGAAGCCCAGGTCCTGAGTTAGTGATCAGGTCCACCTGTGCTAACAGGTGGAACCGCCCCACACCGAAATGCAGCTGAGATGAAGCCCGGAGGGCGGTACTCACACGATGCTGAGGATGGAGTCCTTGAGCCTGATGGAATGCAGACACCTCCGCCACTGCGCCACCGACGAGTGCACGTACAGGCTGTGGACAGGCCAGCTGATAAGCACATGGAGCCCAGCTCGGTGCCTGCAGCCCTGTGGCCCTGCGGCCGCTGCCCCCTCACCCAGGGCTCTGATGGCCACTGCGCCCTTCCCGGTCTATCTGAGCCGCCACACACACGCCACTGTGCTCTGGCCCGCACTTGCTGCCTCTGGTGCATCCAGATGTTACTCCCACCCACACCTTCTCAGAGTATTAGAGAGACCTTGCTTCTCTTTGGTACGAGGGATTGAACTCACGACCCCGCGCTTGCCAGGCAGGCACTTGTGCCACTGAGCTAAATAGCCGGCCCCTCGAGAACTTTCTGACCAAAAGGAAATATAGTTTAGAACAAATATACTGTTTAGAACAAATATAAACCCAGTTTATGAAGCGGCTGCAACAAAATTTGAAATTTTGTGTGCACACACACTCCTGAGTGTTGTTGTCCAGTTCTATGCGTGTCATCCCTTGGGCCTGTGTGTCCCCGCTCAGGGGCCGTGGGTGCTCTTGGGGTGAGTGCAGCACCCACCAGCCATTCTGCGCGCCTAGCCACATGGTCGGCAGGACACTGCTCATCTTCTGCGCCTCCTCCCGCGCCAGGTCCGGCTCACTCGGTAGCGCTGCTGAGATGGGGTCCTGGCACATGTCCGAGTCATTGCTGCAAGGGTGGGGCACAGGGAGACGCTGCAGAGAGCATTGGCTTTGGAAACTTGCACCTTCAAGTTTACAGCCACCAAAAAGCCCAACACAAAAATCAAATACTAAGGTTCCAGAAAGCCAGTGCTAAATGCTTGAATATTTATACACACACACACATACACACGAAGGGTGGTATGTAAAGAATTCCCCAAAACAAACTGAAATACGTCAAAAAACTTTTAGACCGCCAGGGTGAATTTAGTAAAAAATATAATTGCATTATCAAAATCAAAACATATTATTCCTAAATTAGCAATTAGGTGTTAATAGACTCCCTGAGACTTTATTCATGTAGAGAAAGAATTTTTTTTTTTTTTTTTTGTCTTTTTCCTTTTTATCGGTACCGGGGATCGAACTCACGACTGCCTGCTTGCAAGGCAGGCTCTTATGCCGCTGAGCTAAACCTCCAGCCCCGAAGAGAAAGAATATTACACATAAAGAACCCAGCTTAGAGAGACCCTCACCTAAGACAACACAAAGAAGACAAATCAAAAAGCCAGTTTTCTAATAAAATAGTTACATGGACACTGAGACCAAAAGCATTATTAAAGTCCATGAGAGGACCTCAAGCCATGGCATATTTAAACAACAGCCAATGTTTCTGGTAACAAGTGGGCATGAGAGTGGAGGTGGGATTAAACTGGCAAAGAGTCGCTGGGTGCAGTGGGGCACACCAGTCACTGCAGCACTCAGGAAGCTGAGGCAGAAGGATTGCCATGAGCTCAAGGTCATCTTGAGCTATATAGCAAGACTCTGTCTCAGAAAGAAAGAAAATAAGAAAAAAAGAAAGAAAGAAAGACAGACAAAGAATGAAAAGATGAAAGAATGATCAATAGAATGTAAGATTTTGTTTGCTGTTTTTTCTTGAGACAGGGTCTTACTATGTAGTCCAGGTTGGCCTTGAACTTGTGGCAGTCTCCCGCCTCAGCCTCCCCAGTGTTGGGATTATAAGCATGCACCACTATGACTGGCAACAGCATCATTGTTTAAAACATTGTACAAGAGAAGAAAATGACCAGGCAGATGGTCAGGATCATTATTATTTTTTACTATTAGAAGAAGTAGGAAAGACATGGAGGAGCGAAGGAGCAAGAGAGCGAGGCTGGCAGCGCCTCCCTGGCCCTCACCAGTGAGAGGCTCAGAGGCACCGTGGGTTCCTGGAGCTGATGCTGCTCTGTCTACCCATGCACCTGACCTGCCCTCCCGAGTCAGTAGCCTGGACGTGTACCTTGACTGATAGACCGGGGACAGGTCTTCAGGGATCTGGACCCCCAAAGGGTCAGTGAAGACGTGCTCGGTGTACACGCCAGGCTGGGAGGTGTCCACAGCGTCCTCTGTGGAGCTTGAGTTGCCCTCGGTGGCTTCCGTGGCCTCCTCGGCGGTGGGAACACTGTCGTCCACCTCACCACCTTCCGCTTCCGTTTCTACTGAACACATAAAGTGCCCTGAGCGGGAGCCCCGGTATCCATACCATTCTCGAAACCCTGCTGTGGCATGGGCCCTCGAGCTCAGTCTCCCTAAACAGTCACTGCAGTGCCTCCCACGCAGCCCCTGGGAGGTCAGGGGTTTATGAGTCCACACTCAGTGTGAAGGGGCAGGCGGGGCCGCGGGTACCTGGGGGTCTGTCAGTCAACGGAGAAGCGCCGTTGGTACTAGGGGACATGGCCGCTCCTGTGGAACCTTCTGTCGAGCAGCCCACCACTGTGATGCCCCCCAGCAGGCTGTCCGTCTCCGCCGAGCTATTGCTCGTCACGCTACCGCACAGGGATGCCTGGTCCACCTGGCCGGGCTCGGACAGCTCCTCCCCGGCGGGATAGTCTGTTTCCCGTGCACCTGAAAAGTGAGACAAACTTTCCTTGAAGATTAAGTAGGAGGGACCGAGGAGGTAGTGCAGTGACACAGCGCCTGCCTGGCAAACATGAGGTATGGAGTCCAATTCCTGGTACCAAAAAAAGAAAAAAAAAGAAAGGATTAAGAGCCAGGCACAGCGATGCAGGCCTGCAGTCCTAGAAACTTGGAAGGCAGAGGCAGGAAGATCACAAGTTCAAGGACAGTCTAGACAACTTAGCAAGATCCTGTCTCAAAACAAAAGCCAAAGGGTTGGGGCTCCTCAGTGATAGAGAATTCTTGGGTTCAATCCTAGTACCACCACCACCAAAAAAAAGAAAGAAAGAAAGAAAAAAGTAAAGTAAACTCTTTTTTTGGCACTGGGGATCAAACTCAGGACCTTGCATTTGCCATGCAGGGTGCTTGTGCCACTGAGCTAAATCTGTAGCCCTAGTGAGTAAACTCTTTTTTTTTTTTTTTTTTTTTTTTGTCTTTTTCCTTTTTATCGGTACGGGGGATCGAACTCACGACTGCCTGCTTGCAAGGCAGGCGCTTATGCCGCTGAGCTAAACCTCTAGCCCTGTGAATAAACTCTTATACACAGCAGCTTTGTTTTTTTAACTGAAGTAACTAGAGGAACTTAAAATAATCTGTATAGTATGAGACAGAAACTTCAAAGGAAAAACAGTATTATTAATGAGCTGCAAATAAAAAGCATGACAATGTCAGACAGGGTCCCCTTGTCTGTGACAAGCCTCTCAGCAGCCGCAGGAAGTTCAAAACAGCCCAATAATTATGTCATGCATCAAGTCAGAAAAAAATGCTTTTGAATTAACAAGGTTACCATTTGACATATGGCCTTTTACCCACTACGGTTAAGTTCATTACCCTAAGTTGGGTGTGGTAAGGTGCACCTGTAACCCCTGCACGCTGGGAGGCTGAGGCAGGAAGACTGAAAGTTTGAGCCAAGCAATGGGCAATGTAGTGACTGAGGAAACCTTGTCTCAAAATAAAAACCTAGAAAGGGGCAGCTGCCCAGTGCAAGGACCCTGGGCTAAATCTCCAGGACCGCAGTAAAGAAACAAAAACAAAACTACAGGGGCTGGGAATTTAGCTCAGCGGCATGCACGCCTGCTTTGCAAGTGTGCGGTCATGAGTTCGATCCCTGGTACTAATAAAAACGAAAAAAACACAGACACACACACAAAAAAAACCCAAAAAACACTGCAAAGAAACAACAAGCAAGGGGATGGGGGTTTAGCTCAGCAGCATAAGCACCTGCATTGCAAGCAGGCGGGCGTGAATTCGATCCCCGGTACTGATCAAAATGGGAAAAAAAAAAAAAAAGGAAAAAAAAAAAAGAAACAACAAGCAAGTTCATCATCCAAAATATACACAATGCCTTAAGATATATATTGGTAAGGAATTTTAAAACTAAGCATGTATAAGACAAACTTTAATCTAGAAGAAACATTTTCACATCATATTAAAATTTACATGAAAATTTTATATACAACAAAATGTACCATTTTAAAGTATGTAGCTCAGTAACCTTATGCTCACAATGCACAGCCATCACCACTGTTTCTGAATGTTTCCCAGCCCTCCGAAATTCTACATCCACCCAACAGTGGCTTCTCATCCCCACCTCTCCCACGCCAAGTCCTGCTAACCTCTAACCTGCTGGTCGAGTCCAGACAGTGCGTATGAGTGGATTCATGACACTTGTCCCTTTTTGTCTGTCTGTGCTACTTGGGATGCGCACATGGCTCAGCCGTGTTACAATAAGTGCCACGCTTCACTGCAGTGCACGATGGGCATCCCATTACACCCACGCACGCTCCCACCCTGCACTGCGCACCCAGAGCAGGCTGCACCCTCTGAGCAGCTCACCCCACTGTCCAGAGACACCCAGCCCCCAGATCTTTAAACCCACTTTGAGGCTCAGCTATCTGACTCAGCAGTTCTGAAGGGGCTGCTCACAGATCGGTCTGAAGAGCTCTCCTCCTGCTTCCAGTCATCTTCGCCAGCCGTCACTGTTATATTTTCTCCCTGCTATTTATTTGTCACTACCTGGGAATACCTCACCCAGTGATGGCTCAGTGGATTTGTGATCAGCGCAGGGCAGCAGCGCAGGCTCCCTGTGGGTGCCAGGGAGGGCAGCGGGCCCAGCCACTTACCCGGGACGCTGGCGACGCACAACACGTGAGAATTGCACACGGTGAAGCTGTCGAGGATGTTGCCGGGCTGAACAGCGTCGATGATGATCACTTTTGTCGCCGAATGCGTGCTGGTGCAGATCCACACCTGGCTGGACAGCTCCTCATGAGTCTTTAACTCCTTCTGCTGCTCCTGTGCAGGTGCAGGAAGGGAAATGGGTGGCGAAATCCCATATGTGCACACAGACTCGTAGAGCCATGCTACCCCAGGGCAAGGCCCTAGCACCGCAGGTGGATTCTGGATTATTTGCAAAATTAAATATATGAAAAAAAAAAAAAAAGACTAAATATATGAGTCAGCAGTACTGATTGCTAGATTAAAAACTAGTAGTCACAGCAGATCGGTGATTAAAATGTGCTATATATGGTCGTTACATGGGAGTGTACATTAAGAGTCTCATTACAAGCATGTATTTGACTTCATGTAAATTATACCTCAGTAACATTGATTTAAAAGGGTAGCTGGAAACACAAGCAATGGCATAGTGATTCCCTCTAGTACTTCGGCCCAGAAATCAACCCTGGGCCAGAGGGCTAAACAAATACTTTGAATTTATCAGTTTGAGTTATGGCCTTGGAGAAAATCAGAAATCTTCTCAAGAGCCACCTTACAGATTTTTCTTTTGGTATGGGGACTCAAACTCAGGATCTTATACTTGCCAGGCAAGCACATAGCCACTGAGCTATATCCCCTGCCCACCAAATACTCTGGGAAGGCAGGAGGCCAAGTCGGTGCGCAGGCTCACCTTGAGCTCCTGATCTAACTTATCCAAGCTGCTCTGAGATGCACTCCGCTGCTTACTGCCTTCCGTATCCAAAGCAGCGACGTCCTTGTAAAACACACTTGCTCCAACCACAGAGCCGCCGTCCCTGGTCTTCCCACCAGACAGGTTAACACCGACAGCACACCATAGCTGCTCGGGGAGGGCAGACAAGACGCTGTTATTTCTCTTTCTCTCTAAAAATGTCTAGGGTTTTTCATCTTTTCTTAAACCTTTTTCTGTTTTGGGGAACGAAAAAAAGAAAAAAGGGATCCACCAGAGTCTGAGGACCATCTGTCTCCTTCAACTTCACAATAAGCTCACCTTCATGGATGCGTCCTTCTCATCCAGAGGCCGGAGATAGACAGGCACAGGTAAATGTTTCATCTTATTTTCCCCTTGACCATTGGCCACCTAATAATGGAAGGTGACACACAAATTAGAAAGCCTCACTGGAAGAGAACTTTTTAGAACCACTGAGACACAGGCCAGCAGTACTGTTACATCTTTGCTCCATGAAATCCAACTGTTTGATTTTGTTATTCTTATTTGAAAGTAAGCAATCAAGTAGCAATTACAGCAAATCAACAGAGTACAAGAAGAGCTGCCAGAAGCAAGCCCCTGACTCACACACAAGTGTGTGCAGGTTTGTACACAATGTGCTGCAAATTCAGAGGTACAGGATAGTTAAAAGTTCCTGAAGACCTCAACTAGGCATTAATGAACTGTTCGAAATGCTGTATGCCAATGGCTTTTTATAACTTCTATTTTTTAAATAATAAAACCCACAAACATTAAAACAGAACTCTTTTGACTAATGCAGAACAGGGAATGATAGGTCCCACAAACTTGGGCACCCCAGGGACCCCTTGTGCCACAGACCCAGAGGCATCTCACATGCACTCTCGGGAACAGCATGGAATCCACCAGGCTCAGCACTTCTGACCCATGGGCCAAGTCTGTGCAGCTTGAAATGAGCAGGTCTGGACACGTCTTTCCTTCACGCCCAGCACAGCGTCTCGCTCAGCACATCTGCACGTTACCTGTTTGTACTTCTGAGGCAGACTCCAGCCAAACGCCTGCACGCGACCATCCTCTTTCTGCACGTGCGCCTTCACCTGCCGGTACTGCTCCCTCTTCTGCTCTCTGCGTGAGGCTAAACTGGCTTCGGTTCTAAAGGGAACAGAGAATCCTTTCTCAAGTGAATATAACAAAAGCTAGAGGGCTGGGAATTTAGCTCAGCGGCATAAGCGCCTGCCTTGCAAGCAGGCAGTCGTGAGTTTGATCCCTCGTATCGATAAAAATGAAAAAGACAAAAAAACAAACAAACAACAAAAAAAAAGCTGTATCTCCTTTCTCTTGCCAAAGCAGCAAAAACCAAAAACAAAACAAAACTACTTGATTCCAAATCTGTTTAATTCAGAACACAATTACTTTATAGAAAGTGCTAGACTTCCTGGTATATACCCCACACAGAGTCTGAGGGTTCAATCCTCAGCACCACCAGACAGATGGACAAACAAGATACACACACACACACACACACACACACACACTAAAGCTGGTCTGTATTTGTGCAGTGAAACATTAGCAGGTTAGGAAGCGGGCTATTTATTAAACCAGTTATTCCTGACCACCCAACTCCTACTAGGTTTATAAGTATGAAAGAGAAAAATCTTGCCACAATGTTGGCTCTCTACTCAACCAATATTTACTGAGAATTTTCTGATGCCAAGAATGTGCTAGCAGTGACTAAAAGATCAATAAATCAGTATCTGCTTAGGAAGATAATGCAGGTTCAACAGTGAATCCCACAGACTTGTTGCAGAAAACAAAAATGCAAGTTACTTAGAATACAAAAGTAATTCTGAGAACATTTTCTCTCTCTCTTTCTCTTTTGGCCACTTAAATTTCTGTGACTTGCTGTGTAGACCACAGTTAATAAATCTCCCACACAGGTACTGTAGGACACGGTCCTGACACCCTGGAGACAGCTACACTCATTCTTCAGGCTGAGAAAATGGCCCTGTAGGTTAGTCTGTGCACATGTGTGTACCTAAGGAGGAGCCGAATCCACAGAGAAGCAGAAACTGTAAGTAACCGCCACGGGAGCCAGTGACAGCGAGCTCCGGCAGGCCTAAGGAGGTCTAAGTCACTGCCTCACTGAGGCCCTGCCCACTGCACACAGTACTCACTCTTCACTCAGGAAGTCAAAGGCTCTGGACTTGTCCCCAGGGAGCTGCGACAAGGTGCTGCTCCTTTTCTTGACGGACGGGGTCACGTGAGAGGTGGGGGCGTTGTACTTCAGGTTGACGGGCGGCTCAGGCTTCTTTGTTGTGTTGCTTGAGGAGCTGAAAAGTCGGCTGAAACTAAAAACAAAAAAGGCGTGTTTGTGCCATGCGCTCTGAAGAATGCCTCGTTATTTTCCTGGATTTTTATGCTCCAGAAAATCCCAAGTGCTTTTGCAAGGCAAAAGTTTGGACTCAGCACAAACAGCTCTGTGTTACACACCGGGGTCCGAGCAGCGACTACAGCCAAACTCGGAGAGTGGAGGAAGAGGACAGATCACTGGGAAGCGGAGAGCCGGGGCCTGTTCTTTAATGAGCAATTTCCGTAAGGAAAGGGAAAAGCCCTCCGCCTGAGTAACAGAGACTGTGTGAGAGCGAGGCGAAGCAGCAGGTCAGTGGCCGCGGGTGGCAGAGCGCACGATGCCACCTCGGCACAGCCACCTCGGCACAGCCCTTCCTCACTTTCTCTGCAAGCACAATTCACCGCGCCCACAGTGACACCAACTGTTGCTTCCATCACACAGCAGATGCACCAGGAAGGGTGAGTTTGCACCGCGGAAACACAACCTCTTGGGCAACCAATGCAGAGTCATCGCACAAACATGAATCGCCCCAACCCGAGTCTGTCTTCACTGTGTCGGATTCTCGACCAACACCCCACCAGGGGTCAGTAGCTTACTTAATGGCATCCAGGGAACCATCAGTGGTATAAATAGCACCCCCCCCCCATTTTAGTTCGGCAGGGCATTCCAAACGCATAACCAACACAATGCGGCTTACGACAGGGCATGTTTTAGGCTTCAAGAGTAGGCTTACCGAGCTGGCATACTATACACGACAAAGAAAAATTTCAGTTTAGCTATTTACTTTCCATTCTTGAAAGAGATTATGTCTTGTCTCGAATTACTAACGTCCTTCATGTACTTACAACTGCCAGATGCTTGACCTTTTTTTTTCCTGCATGGCTGGGTTTTCTCGTGATGCCCTGCAGTAAGAAAAGAAGACACAAACTTGTGAAGGCTTCCATATTTAGAGTAAAAAAGAGAACAGAGCAGTCAGCTCACTGTTCCACTTCCTGTCTGCAGAAGAGAGGACCCAGAATCCTCAGGATGCAGGGAGGCGCTAGGAGTTAAACTGCACAAGCAGTTACTCTCAGCAGCCACCGCTCAGCCATCTGCTAAGGCTACTACTACTGTGGAGAGCCATTCACAGTGCCCTCCCTGCAAGGCCCGGTCTGTGGTGGAAGATGACCCTCTGTGATGGACAGACAGTCAGGTCTTAACATTGGCATCTAAAGATTTTCCATTTCAGGGTTGTAGATCCTTGCTAGGTGGCCCAGGGTGGTCTTTGTCTTTTGTTTTGAGACAAAGTCTCCCTGTGTAGTTTAGGGTCACTGTGAACTTCAGGTTGGCCTTGAACTTATGGTGATCCTTCTGCCTCAGCCTAACTGTTAAGAACTAGAAACAGCAATTGGAGGCACAGCCTGGTTATGTGCCTTCAGTTTTTAAAGTACTTATTCACTATTTAACGTCTTCACTCCCTGCAGCAGTTAAGAACACACTTTTCAAGTTAGTGTCTCTGTCCGATAAATAAAGATTAGAGCTCTTCTCTTTTGTTCTCTGTAGCTACAGCAATGAGAGTAACAGCAAATTCTGAAATATGTTACACAAAACACTTCATTCTAATACAACACTGGTAAAGGATGCACCGAGGTTAGAAAATACCTCAGAAGCTTAAAATACGTTATCAACATGTGCTGTTTTGGTAAAGCTGATCTGACAATCCAAACTCAAGAATATGGGGGAATTAGTGAATCACGAATTTACAAACTTTTCATGAACTCTTTGGAAATGAAAGGAAGGAACACTGTTACTGAGAACATGACCACTAGATGGCAGCATTAGGTGGGATTTAAGAGCCTCCCTTTTCTTGGAATTATGGAAGTTTCTAAAAAAAAAAAAAAAGCAGACCTTTCCTTGTGAAGAACAGAGATGACTCAGGTTTGCTGGGACGCAGGAAGAGAGAGAGGCCTATTTGACCACAGCAGGCTCTATGCATGGATTGAAAAATCATGCTGAGGGGCTGGGCATTTAGCTCAGCGGCATAAGTGCCTGCCTTGCAAGCAGGCAGTCGTGAGTTCGATCCCTGGTACCAATAAAAACGAAAAAGACAAAAAAAAAAAGAAAAGAAAAGAAAAATCATGCTGAACACCATTAATATGTACAATTGCCATGTATTGGTTAAGAAAATAGGAAAGAGCTGGGCACAGTAAGACACACCTACAACCCCAGCACAGCGGAAGACTGAGGCAGGAGAACTGCAAGTTCAAGGCCTATTTGGGCAACTCACTGATAATCCTGTCTCAGAACTAAAGCAGGCGGTTGTGAGTTCGATCCCCGGTACTGATAAAAAGTTAAATAAATAAATAAATAAAAATAAAAAGGGCTAGCAAGCCAGGTGTAGTGGTGTACACCTACAATTCCAGGAGGCTGAGGCAGGAGGATCACTGTGAGTCAGTCAGCCTGGTCCACAAAGTAAGTTTAAGGCCAGCCTGAACTATATAACAAAACCATCTCAAAGATAAAAATAAACAAATTTTTTAAAAAATTAAAAAGGGCTATGGATCGGGCTCAGTGATACAATGCCCTTAAATCAATCCCTGGTACCATGAAAAAGACCCAAATGACCAAACAGTACCTTTCAGATGAGTAGAAAGACATGGAAAATCAAGCATATTTCACAGGAAGAACCAAGTAAAAATGATTTTTTCCTTGTGTTGCATCAGAAATTTTGATCATTTCTTGAACCTGGCAAAGTAGCTTTAACTTGTATATTCTTTTGAAAAATAATCACCACTCCCAAGTAATACCAATTGCCCTGTACGGGCCATGGGAGCACTGTCCAAGATCACACGACATCCTCAAGACACCCACTGTTTCTAACGGAGACTTCTGCATCATTTAATACCCTGACTCTATGGGGCAGCGAAGAACACACTTCTCAAGCGGCCCTTCACAAAGTCTCTCCCAGGAACAGGAATGGCTTGGCCACTCAAGGCCAGGTCCCCTTCTGAACGAGGGAAGGAATGTGCACACAAACCAGGCACACGGTGGCCAGGAAGCACCAGGGGATCTCCCACACAAACCGTATCATCTCCGTCCATCGAACCGCTTCTTGGAGCTCCATCAGCCTCTCTTTATACTGGTTTCTCTCCATGAGAACGCGGGCCATCTCTACTCTCGTGAACCGCTTTCTCTGGGCCGTGGGGATATCACTCTATATGCACAAGAAGACAGGATCACTGGGTTTGTATCTGCTGTGGTGTTGATGTCTAGTCTTTACACATTCCTTAATGTCTAATAAAAGGAAAAATATCCTCAAGCTGGGTGTGGTGGTACATTCCTCTAACTAATCTCAGCATTCTGGGAGGCTGAGGCAGCAGGATTCCAAGTTTGAGCCCTGCCTGGGGAATTTAGCAACTTAGACAGACCCTTTCCTTAAAAAAAAAAAGAAAAAAAAGTCTAGAAGGCTGGGATGGACAGTGAGAAGCTGGCACTCCTCTTCCCCTGTGCTCCTCCACCAGAACCCAGCCTTATATGAAAGTATTAAATTTATCAACGTGTAACAGGACACCTGACCTCTGCAGCACAGCAACCTCGCAACTAGGTCGGTGCCCTGAGAAACCTGTTCCTATGTGCCAGCTTGTATGAGAACGTTCTGAACAGTGACACTGTTTGTGGTGGTAAAAACGCTGTAGCTCACCTAAACAGTCAGTAAAGGCAATGGACAGCATGTGAAACGAGATATCAGCAAGGTACTTGGGTAGCGGGGATCCCGGGAAGCACACAGTGAGTAAAGGGAAATCTCAGAGACGGAACACACCACAGAACACAACAAGGCAAGCACACTTTGGTGGGTGTGTGCCTCTGTGCACATGTGCACGTGTACGTGCGTGTGCCTGTGTGCATACGTCTGTGTCAGGACGACTGCAAGTCTGAGCCCAGCCTGGGTGACTCGGAAAGGCCACCTCAAGTGCCGCTCCGGGGTGGGGACCTGGGTTCAATCCCCAGCATAGCCTCCCCCAGCCCCAAAACTGGATGGCAGATTTAATGTGATTCCTAACTCATGCATGTTACACACATCTTCTGTACGCCTCCAAGAGTGTATTAAAAACCCAGAAATCCCTGGGGGCACCAAATGACCCTCCTGTCCAAGATCCCCACCATACATGCGTGACTTCTAATGTGAAAGTGCTAACGTTTACTCTTCAGAGTTATGTGCCGGCAACCACAGGGGCCAGCTTGACAGTACTACAGTTCTGGACTTCATCTTCTCCAGTTAAATAATACTGAACACTTTTAATTACTAGCATTTTAGATTTCTAAGTCAAAATTTGAGACAGAATAACTAGCCCCAACAACCACTCCCCTCATGTCCTACTCGTCCTTGAGCTTTGAATGTGCAAACACAGGTCAGAGCAGAGCCGCAGAGGAAAACAACCATGTAACCACCCTGGCGCGTCCCCGAAACTGGTCTAACTAAAATCTCCAGGGTGCTACCTGTACGGCCACAGTTCAGTTAGCAAGGTTTCTCGAGCTGTCAAGGCCTGTACAGAAAGAACACACACCCACGAGTAGGACCTACGTCATCATCATCTTTTGCCTTCTGCCTTGCATCTTCAGCTTCGGCACGAGCTCTAGAGGGAAGAAATAAAACATGTTACTGGAACTGGGTTCAACTTTTCCAATAAGGAAAGGGTAGGCGAACAGTTCACACTAAAGAGTGGTCTTTGCTTTGCCTCAAGTGTACAGTGCTGTTTCCAGTTTGGAAAAACTATCACAGCATCCCTTAAAGAGCAGAAAGGCAGGTCTCAAAGGAAAATATGACAGAAGACTTTCAGACAGTTCCCTTTTCACACCAGGGCAGACACGGACAATGGTGACAGCGGCGTGATAGGCTGTGTGCAGCCGGCCCTTCTCCAGGCCTCCGCCTCAGTTGCCTGGGAACCCTCTGCAGCAGGTGCCCTGGCAGGTGGCCTGGCGACACTTACTTCCTGAGCTCTTCCTCCAGCTCTTTGTTCTTCTCCTCCAGCTTCAACTTGGCCTGCTTCACAGCCTCCAGCTCCCCTCGCAATACATCCTTCTCGCAGGTCAGTTCATCCACTTTGGCTATCAAGTCGTTCTTCACCACATTCAATGCGTTTCTGAGAAACACACACGCCCAGGCGCGGTCACCAGCAGGCCTCCCAGCGCCCAGCTCTCAGCTCGTTCCCTCATGGGCAACAGGAACCGTAGGGTCCCAAAGCTGAGGAGCTGAGGATGCACCACCTGATAGCGCTCTCAGGGAAAGGTGAAAAGGATGCAAGATGCCCTCTAGCTCTGCACCCTTCCGGCTTACAAAGAATGAACAAAACAAGACAGGCCACCAGTGAACAAAAAGCCTGAGTTACAGCATTCTTTCCTGGGAAGAAAACACGACTATCTCACTTCATGCCCTCCCCCCAGAGCCTGAGAGGCGAACACACTGGGCTGGCTGGGGAGAGAGCTCGGCTACAGAAGGAGTGGAGGGGGCATCAGATTTCTTTGTGCAAGAAAGGAAAAGCGGGGCGGGGGGGGAGGACACACACGACACGGACTGCTGGAAGCTCTGCTAAGGGGTGTTGCCTAGGTACAAAAGTCTGATTACTCCTTCAAGTTATCTTTAATTATCAATGAGGAAATCATCTGAACTGGAAACTGAAGACAGAGGACCTAAGACCCGGTTCCTCCGGCACAGTGGGCATGGGGCATCACAACAGAGACACTCTGAGGACACACATGTCCCACTCGGTGAGACAGCCACGAGAGGAGCCCAGGCCACGGACTGCACCTGCTGCACCGCCCCAACGCCAGCATCTGGGCCGGAGAGCGCCAAGCTGAACACTTAGTTGCCAAAAACATTTGTTTCTTGTTATTATTTTATACTTACTTGGTTTCCAAAAGTTGTGTATTTTCTAGAATAAGATTCTCAACTTCACGACCCATTCCTATCAGAAGAAAAATGACAAAGACCTTGAAAATAAATTTATCAAAAACTATACATAAGCTATAGTTATGTTTTTATTTCATTCATTTTTTATGCCCTCTGCATAATCTTATTTTGTCTATGATGACATTTGATGTATCTATAAAATTATAAATAAGTATTCATCATAAAACAAAACTAAAGATTTTGTTGGTCAATATTTTTCCTTCTCAGTACTGGTGATAATCCCAGGGCCTCTCATTGAACTACATCCTCAGCCCCTTTTTATTCTGAGACTGGTGTCTTGCAAAATTGACCAGGCTAGACTTGAATGTAAATCCTCCTGCCTCAGCTTCTCTGCTGGGTGGGCCTATGAGTGGACATCACCATGCTCAGCTCTTTCTCTTCTAATCAGTGGATTACATCTGGCTAGTCTGTTTTTTGTTTCTCAAAGATAAAACTTCAAAAGGATCAAAACTTTTCAGCCAAATATTCTAACAACAATATTCCTAGCACTATCTAGGAAGAAAAAATAGCATTAGTAAGGATCAGAAGTTGTTTCCCAATTACAGCTGATACTGTAGCTTCTGCTCACTGCTAGGCCACACTAACAGAGAACAGGCAGATACAAAGCTAGAGAAAGATGGATCCCCAAGGCAGATGAAACCTTACCAAAGAAATTATGGTCTTAAAGCCCATGCATTCCATGTAAAGCAAAAACAAAGAACAAGAAATGTTTTATGTGAGAAACAGCATGAAAACAGGTCATTCATCTCTAAAGTTTTATGCGTGATATGAACAACACCTGGGGTCACAATGTTATGACTTAATGCATAATGATGTACCACACACAGAAATAAAGATGACTTCCTTCATTCATGAGGACATTCTCTGACACAGCTAAAAAGTACTTTACCAACTCTTTCTCATAAGACAACTGAATATAGTTAGATTGAAAACCCCAAGTCAGTAATGCAAAGTTTCCTATCAGTACTACATATGAAATGAAAGACTTAGGCGTCACTTGATAGACATTATCATTATAATCATTAGGCAGCACTGTACTGGAGACTGAACCCAAAGCTTCTGCACTGAGTTCTATCCCCGGGCCTTTTCACTTTTTATTTTGAAATGGGGTCTTGCTAAGTCAGTAAGTTGTCTAGGTGGGGTGCACACTGGGACCCTCCTGCGTCAGCCTCTGACAGTACTCAGAGTGTCAGTGTGCACCCCCCTACCAGCTATGTTCACTATTTTGATGAGTACTCTAAGACAGGCATGCAGAACGCTCAATGCACGATCCAAGATAGCAGTCTGTAGGGAGAATAAAGTAATGAAGTAACACATTAGGGAATATTTTTTTAAAAAAGCAAAACAAAAGTGAAATGGTCCTCATTCCAAGAACTAACTAACGCTGGAAATGCCATACAAAGGGAGGAGTAACACGTATAATTCAGAGAAATAAGGAAACATATCTAAAGAAAACTACTTAAGGCAAAGGAGTTAACATGTCCTTTTATCTTAAAAAGGCAATATACTAAATGACCTTTAAATTATTAAGACAAAGACAAGCAAGCTAGGAATGCTAAATATTCAGTGCTAACACTGTGACTGCTACTTTGTGTATGTGACAACCTTCTCAAGCATCAGTAGTAGTAGCTTACTCATCTTTCTGCATTCAGTACAAATTTGAAGGGTAGGGGGGACTAAGTGAGTCTTCAAATCCCAACTCCATAATGATTTTTGCCGAGACATTGCTTTAAACACTAACGTCAATGCTGCCTGCGGTGAAGGTACAGAGATGGAACAAAGTTCAGCCTGGCCATAAATACGTGTGCTATAAACTCTCAAGCACTTAGATAAGCATAAAAGCTGGAAATGTGTGTAAGGCAAAAAACAAAACAAAACAAAAGAAAACCAAAAAACCACCGAGCAGACTAAAATGATGAGAAGGCATGAGAGCGCAGCCATGGACAGCAGCCTGGGCAGCAGCACGAGAAGGTTTGAAGCATACACACCAGAGTACTCCCCTGGGAAGCAGCCCAAGAGAAAACGGAGAGAACCTCAGTTAGAGTGTTTTCAGAAAGCAAGCACTAAACTCCTGTAGTTTAAAATGAGAGATCAGCTGACAAAGAAATCAAACAGCACAGAGAAACCATTAACTAAACACAGTGAAGTGTGAATACCACTGCACCAACAGGAGAAACTGGTGTGTGACTGATGGGAAACATACCCTGTAACAGCTTCTGAAGTTTTAAAGTTACATACTGTCAGTGAAGTTTGCGTAAAAGCTACTGTAATTTAACATACGATAAATAGGATTATCTAAAATTTTCATTTTGAAATGCATCGGTAAAAAGTAATTCATTCTGTTACAAGAAAAAATCAGTTTGAAGTGGCCTCATCTCTAGTTAAGACGTAAGCATAAACTGAGGTCTATTATGTTTGGAAACTTTACATACTAACAACAAGAAAAAAAATATGCTACCTGGAAGTTTTTTAAACCCTAAAATCTCACCAGGATTTTAGCATCAATCTTGAGCCAGGTCCAGAGAGGATTCAGAGCCTGTGGTCACCCCTGGGGAGCTGTGTTCCCTTCCCCAAAGGGGAACCGCTTAAAACGCTCCCCCAGGAAGAATTTTTACTCTTAAAAGGTTCCATTGCAGAGATGGACCAAACTCTCAGAACTGTTCACACCCTACGTGGTTGGTTGTGACTCTGTGTGCTAAAAACACAAGCTGTTGGGGCTGGGGATTTAGCTTAGAGGCATAAGTGCCTGCCTTGCAAGCAGGCAGTCATGGGTTTGATCCCTGATACCGAAAAAGATAAAAAGAAAAAAAAAAAAAAAACTTAAAAAAAAACACAAGCTGTCTCGGCCACACTGAATGTGGTGATGCCGTCAGACAGGTGAGTGACAAGTGACGGAGTCTCAAGAATGGAGGGATGAATGGAGGGGACGTCTGTGCCTCGACAGGGGCCACAGCAGGGTCCCCGCAGGACCCATCACGAAGGCAGAGGAAGAGAAGGGGGAACTCAAACACTAACTGAGGGAAGAACAAACAAGCCCAGTGCTGGGCTAAGGGCGAGAGCTCGGCCAGTGGCGCTGCCAACAGCAACAGTGGGCCCAGGTGCTGGGCAGAGCCGCTGGCACAGCACGAGGTGAGTGCCAAGCTCTGAGGATGGCAGGGCAGAGCCTGGCAAAGTCACCCGGGTGACTGGAGGGCAGTGTGGACATAATGGTCCAGGACTCTAGAAGATGATCCAGGACAGAGGTAAGAATGAAACTGGGGTAAAAACAAGACCCAGAGCAAACCCAGCTTCCCAGGTAAAGACGTAGCCCGGGCATCAGAGTGACCAGCTGAGGACGCACAGCCGCGAAGGTGATGATGGAGCAGCATGGCAAAGGACAGAGGAGCACAGCAAAAGACAGAGAGCTAAGGTTTTGTTTTGTGTCTTTTTGAGGCAGGGTCTCACTGTGCAGTTCATGCTGGCCTTGAGTTCACTTTCAGCCCAGGCTGGCCTCAGCCTCCCGTGTGCTGGGATGACAGGCATGCAACACCATGCCTGGCTCACCGAGGACAGTTTTGAAGACAACTGCTTCTGAGAAGTTGTGCAAAATGACTGAGCTACAGCAAGCAAGTGGCTGTTTTGGGCAAGGGCGGGCCAGGGAGACGGCTGCGCAGCAGCAGGGCACCAAACGAGTGCCCAGCCGGGTGGGTAATAGAGGGGCAGCACCTCCTGGGCGCCAGCAGCTAACAGTGGCTGGGGTGGGAGGAGAGTGAATGTGACAGTGAGGTTACAGAACCCCGGGAAGCAGGATTCATTTTATACAGCAAAGACCTAACTAGTTGTCTCAGCAATAACGGGCAGAGCTGGGCAGGAAGGCTCCATGAGAGCACTGAGGGGAAAGGTCTCAGCGCTGGACGCAGCCGCGGTAGGGACTGTGACGCTGGGGAAGAGGCACACGGAGAACAAGGAAGTCAAGGGGCAGTGACGCCAGTCAAGATAAACAACAAAAGACTGGGTTACTGCACGTAACCTGCTAAAATCAGGAAAGAGTCCCCTGAGTATGGAATCCATGAATAATGATTAAAATACATTCAGCCACGGAGCAACAGTTTTGTCACACAGCAGTAGCCAGATCTGAACTTGGAGGTGCACAAGTGGGTGCATGTCACAACCCTCAGGTGGATTAAAGAGCTCTGGCAGCAGCCGGCACAGAAAGTGCAGGCCGGGTGCGTCCTCCCTTTCACTCACCACCTTTGACCTGGAGCATTCGGCAGGCCTGAGTCCCTGCACTCCCAGGTTACACGTCTAACCTGGTGTGCTCTGGAGATAAATGCACTGATGTCTGCAAACAAGGGGCTGCAGTGTACAGTCTGCCTCTTGTCTCTGTTGTGTAGAGAGCCAAGGAATCAGGATTTTGTTTCCATCTATTTATGATGCTTAATTGTCTGACTTTCAGAAAATATTAAATTTTATAAAAGACCACATGTGTTTTTAAGTATTAATGTGGCTTAATTCTTTACAGGAAAAAAAGTATTGGGGTGTCACAGCCTAAAGGGGTCACCAGGAAACAGTGCACAAATCATCCTGAAAGGTACCAGGGAAGAATTCTGGAGGGGATTGCATTGACTCCAGGGCAGCTGCACAACTCTGCATTTGCAAAATCTTAAAAAGTTGTAAGAAAAAAAAAAAAAAGAAAAGAAAACAAAAAAGCCAGTAAATTTTATTGAATGTAGATCTGAATATGAATTTTTACAATTTTAAATTATTTCCGTATTTTTTTTACATCTGCCCTTCAACTCTATCACTGAGTCCCTTTCTGTACTGGGGACTGAATATAATGCCTCCTAGCGGGGGTATATTGCAAGGCCTTTTTGGGGTCTCACTAAGTTGGCAGCTGCTAGGCTGGGCCTGAACTTGAAATCCTCTTGCCTCAGTCCCTCTTCGTGAGGACCTCAGGCGTGTACCACCATGCCAGGTGAGTCAGCTCCTTTTCCTCCTTCCCCTTGCCACCCTCTTCTTCTTTTTTTTTTTTTTGAGGTGGGGTCTCCCTATATAGTCCAGGCTGGCTTGAACTCACAGCAATCCTCCTGCCTCAGCCTCTGGGTGCTGGTATTATAGCTATATGACACATTTGGCCAGAATTGTGTTTTGTTTTCTTTAATTTTTTAAAGATCTGTGGTTTTCTAAAGAAACACTTCACAATGGCAAGGACATAAATGGCAGCCAATAAATTTATGCAAATTAATGCAGGAAGTGTCACTGTGTACTGCATTTCCAAGAACTGACAACAGCACCCTCTCAGAACAGTGTATTATTATAATTACACAGATACATTTTTTGTGGTCAGTATCTATTCCAAAGGAACAGATTTTTAATTGTGTGTAGTTTTCAATTTTTATAGAGCCTTAAACCATAAGGAAGACCCATCAAAGCAAATCACATGTGTCAGAAACATGATTACTGCTGAACAAACCCCTAGCAGTCACCTAGACAGGGCCGGGGGTGTGTACTGGGGGGGCTGCATGCACTAGTTGGGGGTTACTGTGTCACACTCACACACTCCAGTACACAAAGGTCAGCTGACCTGGGCCCACACCCTACAGTCCGCTGCTCCTCTGAGCCAGTCTTTTATTTCTACACAAAGAGACAAGCTTGCCAGAAGGGTAAGCCATTTGGCCAAAGTCACTGGACACATCGTGGAAGAACCTAACCCAATCATACTGTTTTCAGGCTGCTGGAGCAGGGAGCCGCTGGGGACTAAAGCCACAGCCTCAGCACCAAACTCCCAACACAAACCCTAAAATAATTGCTGGGGTGGGTCATAAGCCTTTGCAAAAGGTCGGCAGAAATTCAATGGGATTTAGTCAAAGCAGGAACTGTCTACTACTGATATACCCACACCCACACCCCACCATGCTCCTAAGCTATGTTCCGGGAATACAGCAGCTCGATGCTCTGTGTTGTATAAATTCAAAACAGAAATTCAAGTGCCATTTGGTTTTAGGCCTATCCACACGAGAGGACATGCTCACCTACACCTGATATAATCTCAAAGAATATCCTGAAAGAGAACAAACCCTGTGCCACTGAGCAGAAGGACCTGTGAAGGCATTTCCAAACAGAACATCCAAGAAACCTGTTTTCCTGCGGCGTGAGCCCTCTCCAGGAGAGCCGCCGTACCTAGTAAGTCGGCGCCTTCATCCACATCTCCGATGAGGCCGGAGCCAGCAGAAGACAGCTCCTCGAAGAGGGACTCTGTGTTGCGATTGAAAGCTCGGTTCTCTATGCCCTCGGTGGGAGTGCTAGGCACAAAAACGAAAGCAAGTCAACAAGTTACAAAGGCATTTTCAACAGTGTGCTTTTTAATATAACGGGCTAGGCAACCATCATTTACTGCACAATATAAAAAAGGATTTCATAAAGGTTTCTTAAGCAATTCCCATGAAATCGCAGCGAGACAGCTGTAAAGAAACGATAGTGCACTCTTTCCTAACGCTGACCCCTACCTGCCCGCTGTCCCAGTTCACAACTGTGCCCCCTGTCAACACCTGCTGCCACCCTGCTTCACCAATGAACCGAGGACACCAAGGAATTTACCAAGGTCACTCAGCAACCAAGTGAAAGAGGCGGCATTCACACTCCGGCTCTCCAGCTTCGGAATCCAGGGTCTTAACTACCATGCTGCCTCACAGAACACATGGCCCAGTATTAACCACCAAGGCTTTTTCTTTTAAGAGCAATTTGACATTATTCAAATGAATCCAAAACTCTCTGACCAAAAGGCCCCATAGAAACCCCCCTGTCATAAGAAGGTGATTTCACATGCAAAAGGTGGTCAGGATAGCATTTCCATAGCGGCAAAAGGCTGAAATGACTTGTGATTAGTAATATAGAATCAATAGAATAAGTTGTGGAGATTGTATATATATATATTCAAAGTTTCAACTTCATGGTTAAAAGCATCTAAATAGAAGGCCTGGCGCAGTGGGATTACACCCGTAATCCCAACACTCAGGAGGCTGATGCAGGAGGACTGCTACAGAGTTTAAGGCCAGCCTCGGCTACATACTAAGTTCAAGGTCAGCCTGAACTGCGAAGTAAGACCCTGTCTCAGAAAAACAAACCAAAACAACAAACTCTACAGGATTTCCAGCTAAATATGATGGACTGAGCATAGTCACTTACATCTAAGGATTCAGAAACCTGAGGTGATAATTAAGAGATTAAAAGGGAGCCAGGTGTGGTGACACTCACCTGTAATCCCGGCACTCTTCCTGGCTGAATTAGGAAGACGGCAAGCCTAAGTCTAGCATGGACAACTTAGTGACCTCAAAAGACCCTCTCAAAAACAACAATAGGCCAGGGATTTAGCTCAGCAGCAGAAGTGCAAGCACAAGGTCATGAGTTCAATCATTAGTACCAAAAAATAAAAATTGAAAAAGCAAATAAAATGTGGACAAAATTCTGTAAGCTTGGAAACGTGGGCAAACAGTAGAAACTGAGATACTGAACCAACAAAAGCTGAACTCTTAGGCTTAAGGAGGTCCATAAGCTGTCTGAATTCACAAAGACCAAGGGCATGAAGCAGTCAGCAGCTACAGAGATGCGCACGCTTGCAGCAGGGCGGGGGAGGCTGGGATGTGATCCACCAGGACCGCGGTGCTCATCAGGGAGGCCAAGCTCTGCCGTGGGGTGAACTCGAGGGCCCAGGCTGCTGAGCACTGCTGAGCGAACCCAGCCTCGGAAGTCAGGCTTGAGTGCTGCAGACAGGAAGCTGGAGACTTAGCGCTGCTCACCTGTGTACATGGACACCAGTCATGGGCACTAGACATTTAAAGACTTGAGTAAAAAAGGAAACACCCAAATCAAACGGATGCCAATGAGATACCAAGACAAAAGAAACCACGCGGGCAATGGCAACAATGGCACACAGTCAAACCCACTTTTCTGGCAGTAAGTGTTGCATCCGCAAAAGCACAGTCAAGTAATACACACAGCAACATCTGTAGGGCATGATGGCTAGCACCTGCAGTCCTAGCACTTGGAAGGCTGAAGCAGGAGGATCACCACAAATTTAAGGCCAGTTTGAGATACATAGTGAATCCAGAGCTGGCCTGAATTATGAAGTGAGATCTTGTCTCCAAAAAAAAAAGAAGAAAAAAAGAAAGAAAAGACAACCATACTCGCAACTTCTTACCTTCAGAAACGTGAGAAATCTCTGCTCTTTGTAAATTAGCCAGTATGGATATAGTTAGAGCAACACAGAACACTAAGACGTCATCTTTCCAAATGCTCAAAATGCCACCGTGAGGGTAACATTTCACAAAGAACCGAAACCATATATAATGCCCAATTTCTTTTCTATTTTTTTTTTTTGTCTTTTTCCTTTTTATAGGTACCAGGGATCGAACTCATCACTGCCTGCTTGCAAGGCAGGCGCTTATGCCGCTGAGCTAAATCCCCAGCCCCATAATGTCCAATTTCAAGAACAGAAATTGTGGGGTCTTTTTTTTTTTTTTTTTTTGTACCGGAGACTGAACTCACGATCTAACTGGTTACAAGGAAAGCGCTTGAACCACTGAGCTAAATCCGTGGCCCAGAAACTGGAGTTTTATACTGACATTTCTTCAGCAAAAAGTATGAATTGATCTTTTCTAGGCAAAGATCAGAGAAAAGAATGCTTAGGGGAGTGGGAAAAGGAAAGAGAGGGTGCTGTACTCTGACATTTCAGTACCTAGAACCCTTATAGCCACTGAGATCTTTGTCCATATCCAATTCGGGAGTGGATTCGATGATTGCTTGAACTTCCGACTTGTCTTCATTTTCGGCAGAGCCTAAAAGAAGGATGTAGCGAGATAAACAACTCACCCGTGACACAGTGCCCGAATAGGGAGGTCTGCTGCTTTTCTGGTTAGAAACGTAGCACTTGAATATTCACAAGATCTCAGGCTGTGTTCCAGGAAACAGGGCTAAACAGTGTCATACATTCCGCTAATAGTCAGTAGCAGAAACTAGAGAGGAACTTAGAAATTGTAAGTCTTCATTTGTGTTTCTCGGACACATAGGGCAGTCTGCCTAAGGTACTGCTTTCATGTCTCCTTCCAGGGTGGAATACACAGAAACTAAATCCAGGCTGACAGACAATAAAGTAGGGGACAGAAAAGGATTGCCTTCCTGCCTTGTAGACCTCTATCCTGCTAGTTCCCCAAATCTTTCTGGTATTTTCAATCTTACATTGTTTAAGCTAACCCATAATTGAATGCAATGAGTTACTGACCTATTTTATACATCTAACACAGGAATACACCTAAGTATTGTTTTCCCAGGCTCACATCATCGGGGTTTCCTGAGTCCCTTACTAGAAAGGGCAGATCGCAGCACTTGCCTGTGGACACATTCCTGGTCTCCTGGGCGACCTGCACCTCAATGTGCTTGCTTAGCTCGGGCTTGGCTGGCGAGTCTGTGCCCTTTGCCAGCCCCTCACTCTCCTCCCTCAGCGGAGTGTCGGAGGGGGTGGCTGCTGCGTCGGAATTGGCTGCTGATGCGGGAGTAGTAGCTTTAGATCCACCTTGGCTAACATCAGAAAGTTCATCCTGCAAATAAAAATTAAACATTTTAACCAAGTCTTTTTTTTTTTTATCGGTACCGGGGATCGAACTCATGGCCAGGGACTGAACTCACAACCATGAGCTTGCAAGGCAGGCGCTTATGCTGCTCAGCTAAATCCCCAGCCCCTTAACTGAGTCTTCTGTTCTAAATCACTGTAAGAATGCGTTAGGGGCGTGAGTGCACCATAGCTCAGTAGCACAGTACATGTTCAGCAGGTGAAGGTCCTGGGTTCAACTCCCTGCACCAAAGAAACACAAGGGTAGCGAAAGAAACCTGCCTGGAGAATATTTGATTAAAAACAAACCAACAGGGGCTGGGGATTTAGCTCAGCGGCATAAGAGCCTGCCTTGCAAGCAGCCAGTCGTGAGTTCGATCCCTGGTACCGATAAAAACAAACAAACAAAACAAATGCAATGCAGAGTCACTGATTACTAATAAATAAAGTCCTTAGGTTATATGCAAATCATCAGGAATATTTAAGTAGATCATTTGTACAGGCAAAGATGAGATTTTTCAAATCAGAAAACCTAAAAATCAAAGATTAGAAATATCAACAGTAAAATTATGCATTCATAGCAACAATGGTTTTTAACGACAGCTGCAATGCTACACAATGGTTTGGTAACAAAGACTGAAACAGGAAGAACAAGGGCACTAACACTACTTTAAAACAGCAGGATGACCAGATTCGTAAAACTCAGGGTAACTACATCTTAACATCTTACATCTGGGTCATACAACCTATTTGTCAGAAGGACAGATTCGAAGTCTATCTCCAGACTTAAGGCACCTGGCATTGGTCAGTAAAGTCAGGTCACTTGCACTGTAACAAGCACACCTCAGAAAACCTACCCACTATTCTGGAGTCTCTAAATTGGTTCCAAGAGACCCACGCACGGCCTGAAACCATATACGCTATCTGTGTACAAGACATTTTTCTGGAGAAGAATCCTGAGCCTTTGTTAGATTCAAAGAGTCTAATAATAAATTTTAAAACCCGTCCAATGGCTACCAGAAATAAGACAGCTCTTTTACAGTGAAATACAAAGGTCTACAGAGAAAACCCGACAAATGGTTACTTCTCCTACGCCAGGAACAGGGTGCTCTTAGCTTCCCAGAAGGCTGAGGCAGAAAGAAAAGGAAAGCCAGGACTTTGGAGTGGTCTAACACAGGGAGACCCTACCGTTTAAAAATTTCTTTAAATGGCTATATTAAATAAGAATTACAATAAACTCAATAAATGTATTCTTCATGACATATATGATCTTGGGTAAACTATACATTGTTTTTATGCCTATATTTTCTTTTTCTTTTTTTTTTTTTTTGTCTTTTAAGACAGGATCTCGCTATGCACTTCAGGCTGGCCTTGAGCTCACTTTGTAGCCTAGCCTGGTCTCGAACTCGCAATGATCCTCCTACCTCAGCCTCCCAAATGCTGGGATTACAGGTGTGAGCCACTACGCCCAGCTTATGCCTGTATTTTCTAACCCGTATCTTCCTCATACAATTATCATACACTATTCTTTATAAAGGCTCTGCAATGTGTTTTACACATACTAAGCAATTTGCAACTTCAGATATTAGTATAAATGACAATGATTTGTGTAGTTCTAAATGTACTTATTATTTTTAAGGCAAATGGGGCGCTCTCTATCCTTTTAACTGTTTCCCAATGCCCTTTGGCCCTACCCAGGCGTTTGTTTTGTTTTAATGATGAGAGTTGTAGAAGCTGAAAGGAGCACCCAGGGTAGGTGATTACTCTCTAAGATTCCGAAGCATCTTGGTTCTGTCGGCAGGCACAGGCTCTATGACAGGAGGACTTTACCTCAGCATGTGCCTGCTCTTTACAACTTCCAATGCTTCATCCTACACCTGTCCTCGTCAATAACAAGCCTCCATCATCTTTTTCCCTTTCTTATTTTTAAATGATCTTGGTATATAGTTCAGGCTGGCCTCAAACTCATGGAGATCCTCCTGTCTCAGCCTCTGGAGCACTGGGATTACAAATGTGTGTCACCTCACTGGGCTATCCACTCATTTTTTTTTTTTTTTTTTTGGTCCTTTTCCTTTTTATCGGTACCGGGGATCGAACTCACGACTGCCTGCTTGCAAGGCAGGGACTTATGCTGCTGAGCTAAATCTCTAGCCCCCACTCATTATTTTAATAAACGTGAGCATCCAGACAGACACTGATCCACTTAACAAAACTGAACCTCCCCTTAGATTTTTTTCATCAAAATAAAAATACAATGGCATACCCATGTTCAAGTAAGTCGAATATTCTGTGACTTTAGGAAAATGCTATGTTATACTATTGATATATACATATACAGATATATACATGTACACACACGCTCTCCAGAAGTAACCAAACATGTACACATACACACTGCCATGTATAACAGCGAATAATTCCAGAGTTCTTCAAGCAAGCAAAGACTGGCGTGGGGTGGGGTAGGGTGGGTCGAGTATCACTGCCAAGAGCTCAGGCAAGGTGAGTGTGCACTAGGGACCTGCTGCCCAGGGCTGGACCTGCAGTCAACAGGTGTGGACTGTAATCTTGATGTCATGTTTTGTGTCCTGACCACAATAAAACTTTTTTTTTTTTTTTTTGAGACAGGGTCTTTACTATGCAGTTCAGGCTGGCCTTGAGCTCACTTTGTAGTCCAAGCTGGTCTTGAACTCACAACAATCATTCTACCTCAGCCTCCTGAGTGCTGGGATTACAGGCGTGAGCCACCATACCCTGCTTCACAATAAAACTTTAAAAACTAAAATTTACAAACTATACTGCCTCAAAATGGGAAAATAAGCAAATCGCAGAGCATTGATACAAGAGAATACCATGCAGCAGTTAAAATTGGTGTTGTGAAATACTCAGTGAAACTGTGTGTGCAGCACACTCAGAGAAAACACTCCAGGAGGAAGCTGAGGCAGGAGGACCATAAGTTTTGAGTTCGGCCTGGGCAACTCTGCAGGACCCTGTCTCAAAATAAACACAAAAATGACTAAAGATGTGTCTCAGTGCAAAGGGCTTTTGTTTAGTCCCCAGAACTACAAAATACTGTGAGTAAATAATTTTAGAAGATATAAAATAAAATGTCTAAGATAGTAAATAAAATTATTTCCTCCTTGTGTTTTTTTTTATTCTTTCTAAATTTGCTAAATCATCAGCAAGAATGACTTCTATAATAAGGGAAAAAATTTCTAAACAAATCTGAAGTGTCAGGAACCCCTGCTCCAGTGTGAGCCCAAGCTTAAGTATAAGGAAATCGCTCATCCCTTCTGTGAACGAATCTGTAGGGCACAAACAGGTCTCCGCAGCCCAGCAAACCAGCCTGCCTGGAGCTGCGGCAGACACACAGGTAGCGAGGGCGTGGGGCCAGAAAGCACGTGCGCAGTGACGGCCGCTGAGCGGCACCTCGGGCCGAGCGTGGCTCAGTCCAGCAGGAGCATGTGTGCTCTTGGTTACCATAGCTAGTGGGAGGTTTCGGTCACAGCACACATTCACAAGCAGCCATCAGGACTGCGAGTTCGACGACAGTTCCTCTGCACTGAGCATGGCACGTGCCATGGGACCCCCAACTCAGAGAACCCGGGAGATCTGAACGGCAGGCAGGAAATGGAGGAGCCGCCAGCTCAGGGCTCCAAGGATCTCAGCCCGTGAGGAAGTAGTAAATTCGGATCCACTTAAAGAAAATGAAGCTTGAAATCCTTTCCTGCCCGTGCTAATAACACGACATTCATTTATCCTCAATTTACTTCCCTTTTATACTTTTTGCCACATAAAAATCATTTCAGGTCCCTTAAAATGATCTGCTATGTGGGGTGCACTTCTACAGCTGGATCCCCGGAGCTCGGAGGGAGGCTAAATCGCAAGAGGCGACCTCAAAACCATCCTCTCCCATGGTGTCCCAGGACGAACGACCTGAAGCTCCTAGGGTGAGCAGGCTGGAAGCAGGAAGGTACCAGCCGCCACGCCCTTGCTCCCGTCTCAGGGCAGGAGCACCCGTGCTCTCACATCCATCCTCTAGCGGGGTCCTTATCCAAGTCAGAGTCTAACTGCCTCCAGCTACAGACAGAAGGAAGAGTCAAGCCCAAACACCCAACTGTTAACTGTCTGTTAACTTCGGTCAGAGCAAGCTGCTACGGTGAATTACATGCAAGACAAAGGAAATTCCTACTAGGACTTAAACACTGGGGCCAGTACCCCAGCACGCTCAAGGCTGAGGCAGGAGCATCTCTCAGTTTAATGCCAACCTAGACTACACAGTGAGTAGGGCTCCTAAATCAACAAAACAGCAGCAACAAACCCCCTAAACTGGGAGCATTTACTATGCATTATTCAGCACAAAGTTCTAAAGGATTTACATGCTGTGATCTGACCTCCCACCTGTACTTCCTAGGGACAGACTCCTGTTTTACTGTACAGGTCAGGCAACAGGTGTTCTGCACTGGCTGAGTCTTGACTGCAAACACCATGTTACTACTTATTTGAAAGCTACAACCTACTGCGCTGAGGATGTAGCTTTTGCAGGGCTCTAGATTCCATCCTCAGCACAAGACAGATAGAAATCAAAGGTTACCAAATCCTAACCCTAACCCTGCAGCAAGCAGGCCGCGAGGCAAGAAGAGCCAGTGTCCCCCCACCTCGCCCCACCCCACCCTGCCCCTGGTAAGCAACCAGCTGACCTGGAGAAACACAGGCTGCAGTGATAGCTAATGAAGTAAAATACAACTTAACAGTGTTTAGGGTTTCTCTGACTTTGCAAATCTAAAGCCGGTAGTCTGATCATCTATTCTTTTTTTTTTTTTTTGTCTTTTTCCTTTTTATCAGTACCAGGGATCGAACTCACGACTGCCTGCTTGCAAGGCAGGCGCTTAGGCCACTGAGCTAAATCCTCAGGCTTGATCATCTATTCAAAGGGTAACAATATAAGGTGTAGCATCTATGGGGATCTTCTCCTTCCGAAGGTGGTGGTCA